CCATCCCCTTCACTGCCCTGTCCTCTTCTCCATCCCCATCCCACTCCCCATCTCAGTCCTGTCCCCATTTCCACCCCTGTCACCATCCCTGTCTTGGTCCCTGTCCCCATCTCATCCCCATCCTACCCCTATCCCATCCCTGTCCCCATCTCTGACACCATCCTTGTCCCCATCCCATTCCCATCCCCTTCTCCACCCCTATCACCATCCCCATCCTCATCCCTGTCCCCGTCCTCATCTTCATCCCTGTTCCCATCCTTGTCTTGGTTCCATCTCATCCCCATCCTGCTCCCATTCCCATCCCTGTCCCCACCCCTATCTTGATCCCTGTCCCATCTCCATCCTCATCCCTGTCTCTGTCCTCATCCCTGTCCCTATCCCTGCCTTGGTTCCATCTCATCCCATCCTGTTCGCATTCCCATCCCCATCCCTGACGCCATCCCTGTCCACATCCTGGTCCCAGTCTCTATCCCATCACTGTCCTCATCCCTGTTCCTGTTCTCATCCCTATCCCCATCTCCATCCTGTTTCCTGTCCCTAACCTGTTCTTATCCCCATTCCCATCCCTGTCACCACCCCTGTCCTGATCCCTGTCCCATCCCCATCCTCAGCCCTGTCCCTGTCCTCATCCTCAGCCCTGTCCCCATCCCTGCCTTGGTTCCATCTCATCCCCATTCCCATCCCCATCCCTGTCACCATCCTTGTGTTGATCCCTGTCCCTGTCTCATCCCCATCCCCATCTCCATCCCTGTCCCTATCCTGTTTCCTGTCCTCATGTCATCCCCATCCCCTTCCCTCTCCTAACCCAAGCCCCACCTTTTCCCTGTCCCTACCCGTCCCCATCCCATCCCATCCCAGGACTCATCCGGACCCCAGGACACGCAGCCCCGGCTCCCCCCATCCACCTGCCTCGTGCGGGGGGTTTGGCAGCGCCTTCATCCAGCGGAAACTTCTTTTATCTCCAAAAATTCCTCTGCGCTCCGACGGGGAAAACTCCGGCTGCTCCAGGCTGGGATCCTCCCTCCGCCGCCCACGGCTCGTACAAAGGCTCCTTCACCAGGGAAGGACAGAGCCACCTTTGTTATCCCGCTCCGACCGGGAGCAGCACCGGCTCCGCCATCCACCTCCCGGGAATCTCCAGGATCGGGAAAATCAGTGAACCGCGAGCACTGGGTGGTGGGAGATGTGGAGTGGGGGCATCGCTGCGTGTCCCAGATTTGCTCCCTCCCACCAATCCCAGCAGGATTTTAATTATTATTTTGATTTAACCGAGCCAGGATTGTTTAGGATCCCACCGGAATAATGGGTGGGGTCGAGGGGATCCAAGGGATGCCGAGCCCCACAGCCCGGCCGTTCCTGCCGGAATCCTCAGCGCGCTCATAAATCCTATTGTCTCTCCCGCCTCATGGATAATCCCGGCATGGCAGGGGCGAGACCTGCCCCTTCCCAGCGTGGGATTCCCGGGAATCTCGGTGGGTGGCCGGGGACAATCCCCACCCCCCGGCGCCCCACCCCCTGCCTCTCCTTACAAAGGGGGGATAAAGAATCCCTTTATAAGGAGGGGATGGAGGAGCGGCTGGCCGGGATGCAGCGGGACGGGATGCAGCGGGACGGGATGCAGCGGGACGGGATGCAGCGGGACGGGATGCAGCGGGACGGGATGCAGCGGGACGGGATGCAGCGGGACGGGATGCAGCGGGACGGGATGCAGCGGGACGGGATGCAGAGGGACAGGATGCAGCGGGACGGGATGCAGAGGGACGGGATGCAGAGGGATGTTTCCCAGCCCCCTGGGATGGGAACCCACCCATCTGCAAATCCCACAGCGTCAATCCCGGGACTGGATACAAACGCAGCCTCTGGATTTCCCTCGCAAATATTCCTTCAAATTTCTGTGTGAGCTGGGAAAGCTCAGCAGGACAGATCTCTCCCTCCCACCGGGATTTTTGACAAAGACAAGGAGATGGGGATCCTGGTGTCACCAACAGCATCGATGGCAGCACGAGAGAGGATTTCATGGCTTTAATGGCAGGATAAAAGCTTTCCAGGAGCCTCCCTGTCCATATGGATACTCGCTCTCCCACATTTCCCGACACTGGCAGCTACAAACCCACCCCCAGGCCCCCAGAACCCACTGGAAGTGGGATGGGGGTCCCGATGCCAAGCCAGGCTTGACCCTTGGAGAGCTCAGGGACCAGGTTGTGAATGATGCCAGGAAATCCAGGGTGCAGCTTCCCGGGAGAGTGGGTGTCTTGGGACATGTTTGGCAGCACAAGGAGGAGGACGGAGACGTGGAAGTGGCTGGAGGTGAGGCCACGGCTCCATAAACACCCTCAGAGTGTTTTATTCCCATTCTCTGCACCCCTGGCTGGGATCTGGGCACCACAGAGCTGGCACAAGGCCGGCGGCTCTGGCATGGACCAGCCGCTTCCTAGACATCTGGGACCATGCCAGGAAAGATTGAGGTTTAATCCTGTGCCAACAGCTGCCCCAGGCCCGGATCAGCCCTGGCATCGTCCCCCTTCCCTGACCTTCCCACCCCAACCCACCCCCTGTAACTGGACACCGACGGGTTGTTTTTCCAGTCTTGTGACACCGGGAAATGTCAGATCCCAACAGCCCTGGGGTGGGTGGGATGGGGTGACACCAAAGGGGTGGAGACACCTGGATTTGGGGATCGTCCTGGGATGGGGCATTGGGACCTGGCTCCTGCTCTGACCATGCTCAGAGACAGAAAATGAGAGGCATAACTGAGCCTGAAAGTTTGGAAAACAGCATTTCTGGGGGGTCAAACCACCCCCAGACCGCTGGGACGCTGTTTTACAGGAATTCAGCCCTTCCCAAGCTCCTGTTCCTAAGTGTGACCCCTCATCACTCTGACTCCTGATAATTTTGCCCCCTAAAAAACATGACCTGTATAAAATGAGGTTCTTAATAATTCTGACCCTTAGCAACTGTGATCCCTAAAAAACATGGTGCCTAATAACCCTTACCCCCAATAACTGTGATCCTTGAAAAATGAGGTCCCTAATAATGGTGAACCCTAATTACCCTGACCCCTCATAACTGTGACCCCTAAAAAAAAATCCCTAAAATTGTGGTCCCTAATAACTGTGACCCCTAAAAAGCATGGTCCTTAAAAACTATGACCCTTAATAAACTGTAGTTCCTAATAACCATAACCACTAATAACACTGATCCCTTAAAATCACAGTCTCTAATCACCATGACCCTTAACAACCCCAAACCCTAATAACTGTGATCCCCAAAAACTATCACCCCTAAAACCCATGGTCCTTCATAACTGTGACCCCTAAAAATGAGCCCTAAAAGACATGATCCCTAATAATAGTGATCCCTAAAAACAGTGACCCCTAAATCCCATGGTCCTTAAAAACTATGAGCCCTAATAACTGTGACCTCTAATAGCCCCAAAACCTAATAACTGTGACCTCTAAAAAATGTGGTCCCTAATAACTGTGGTCACTAATAACTGTGACCCCTAAAAAAATGACCCCTAAAAAATGTGGTCCCTAAATAACTGTGACCCCTAAAAAATTGAGTCACTCATAGCCATGACTCCCAATAACCCTGATCCCAATAACTGTGACTCCCTCATCACCCTGACCCCCAGTAACCTTGATCCCAAATAACTGTGACCCCCCATTCCTTTCCCCCCAGTTCCACTTGTTTCCCCTCAGGGCACATCCCCTGCAAACCCTGTTTCCAGCAGGCCCTTCTCCATCTCCTGCTCCTGACTTTTCCCTCGATATTTAATCCTCATCCATCCAACCTGGAGCATTTCCCAGCTTTTCTGGACACAGAGAAGTAGCAAACCCCAGCTGGGAGATTCAACCCTCCCAGTTCCCCCTGGATGCTCCCGCAGGTGAATCCAGGTGAGCAGCCGGGCACAGACCCGTTTTGGGGTGACTTCACACCTTGGATCGATTTGTCAGATCTTGGAATTATGCCCAGATTGGGGCAGGAATAATGGGATTATCCAGAGCTGGCTGTGGGATAGGGAAGCTCATTAAGGAGCATTAAAGAGGGGAAAATTGGGGTTTTCCAGGTTCTAATTAAAACCTCAATTAACTTCCAGGTGCCTCAGAGGCTCATTTTAGGGGCATTAAGGGGGTTCTTTACAATTTGCTCCCCACCCTTGCTCTCCCTACGGACACAGAACAAACTTCCAGGATCCTGGAACAGCTGAGAATGGTATCCAGCCCCCCTCAGGTGCTTCCAGGTTTGGGGAAACTGAGGCATGGCAGCCCCAACCCTCCATGGGGGAACATGTCCATGCCCCCCCACCCCCACAGAGCACCCACTCCCCTCTGGAGCCCTCAAATCCCCCCGGGAAAAGCAGGATGAGTTCCCTTGGAGGGCCTTTCCCCATGAAAACACCAGAGGGGAGGGGGAATCCATCCCAGTGGTGGGACTGGGGTGAGATTCCCTCCACGGTGAATAACCCAGGGTGACCTGGCTTCAGTTTTGGGGGAAAAAAGTGAGATTTTTCCCTTTTTTTTTCCCCAGCCTCCCTCAGTTTTCCAGCACGACAGGGACTAACACTGCCATCTACCGAGCAAGCCCTCGTGTTATTAATCCTCATATTTCTCTTCTCCCCACCCAAAAGTGCTTCCCACATCTCTGGGGACACACAAGGCCCCTCAAACCGACCCGTCTCTCCCTGTGGAGTGAATCCTGGTGCCCATCCCTGTACAGACCCCCAGTGTCTCCCCAGGACGGTTTTGGGGTGCCTTTTTGGGATCAGGATGGTTTTGGGAAGCCTTTTTGGGATCGGGACTCTGTGGCTCCCAGGCTGGGAGGGTGAGTGGAGAAGAGGTGCAGGCAGAGCACCCCCTGCCCCGCCCTGTGCCCCTCGTCAGGCCCAGATGAGCCCCACCTGAGCCTCACTGGCCTCAGGGCTATTTAAAGCTCCTGGTTTTGTTCACTCTCCCCCATTTTGGGTGTCTCGTGAGGTGCAGCATCAGTCCCTTCCTAGGATGGGGGAGCCTGGTGGAGCTGAGGAGGGGCTGGAGGGGGTCCCTGAGTCCTTGGAGATCTCACAGCCCCTGGAGGTCCCTCAGCCCTCAGAGGTCCCTAAACCCTTGGAGATCTCGCAGCCCCTGGAGGACCCTGATCCCTCTGGGGTCCCTGATCCCTCGGGGGTCCCTCAGCCCTCAGAGGTCCCACCACCCACGGGGGTCCCTCAAGCCCCGGAGGTCCGGCAGCCCCCGGGGGTCCTGCAGCCCACGCCGCCCCCCGAGGTGCTGGAGGGGATGCTGAGCCGGCAGTTCGGGCCCCTGCCCCGCCTCGCCCCCATCGCCCGCCTGCGCCGGGGGGCCCGCGGCGAGTACGAGCCCACCGGCGACCTGGCCGAGCTGCTGGAGCGGCGGCAGGCGGCCAACGCCAAGGAGAGAGAGAGGGTGAGGGACCCCAGAACCCCGCTGGACCCCCCCAGAATCGCACCCCGGGGGGGGCGGGGGCTGTGTCCCGTCGTGGTGGGAGCCCCAGGGCTGCCTGAGCTGGGGGCACCAGCAGTGACCCCCCCCCAGGGGTGTCAGGGAGGGGCTGGGGAAGATTTGCATTTGGGGAGGGGGGTGGGTTTGATCCTGAGGGGCCCCAGGTAAATTTTAGGAGGGCCTAGTTTGATCCTGCAGGGGCCCTGGCTTAATCCTGGGGGGGGGGGGTCCAGTTAAATCCTGGGTTGGGCAGTTTAATATTGGGGGGGCTCCGGTTAAATTTTAGGAGGGCTGAGTTTAATTCTGAGGAACCCAGCTTAATCCTGGGGGGGGGGGCGGAGGACTGTTAAATTTTAGGAGGGTCTGGTTTAATCCTCGGGTGCAGCTCAATTTTAGGAGGACTCAGTTTAATCTGAGGAACCCAGTTTGATCCTGGAGGGGTCGATGTAATCCCAGAAGGCTCAGTTTAATTTGGGGGCACGGGGGGATGGGAGGGGATTAGTTTAATGCTGGGGACCCTGGTTTAATCCTACACAAAATTTAATCCCACACAAAATTTATTTGCATGGGACCTGGTTTAATTCTAGGAGGGCACAGTTACATTCTGGGGAGACCCCAGTTTAATTCTGGTGAGCCCGGGTAAAACCAGAAGGACCCAGTTTAATCTTGGGGGTGGGAAGCAGCTTAATTCTAAAAGGGCCCCAGTTAAATTCTGAAGTCCCAGTTTAATTTTAGGAGGGCCAGGTTGAATTCTGGTGAGCACAGTTTAATCTTGGGGACCCCAGATCAACTCTAGGAGAGCCCAGTTTAACCCTGAAGGCAGCAGTGTAATCCCAGAGACCCCAGTTTAAATCTAGTAGAGCCCAGACAAGTCATGGAAGGGGCAAGTTTAATTTGGGGGTCCCAGTTTAATTCTAGGAGGCCCTAGTTTAATCCTGGCATTTAATTCTGGGAGGACCCAGTATAATCCTGTGGGGAGGCCTAGTTCAATCTTGGGGAACCCAGTTTAATTCTAGAAGGGCTCCAGTTTAATTCTAGAGGGGTCAGGTGTATTTTAGTGAACCCAGTTTAATCCTGTAAAGGCTACAGTTTAATCTTGAGGAGTCCAGTTTAACTGTAGGAGGGCTCAGTTTAATCCTGAAGGGCCCCAGATAAATCTTGGGGAGCCAAGTTTAATTCTGTGAGAGCCCCACTTTGGAGAGTCCAGTTTGATCCTGAGGTTTAATTCTGGTTTAATTCTTGGTTTAATTCTGGAGGGACCCCAATTTAGTTCTGGGGTGTCAGGTTCAACCCTGGTGAACCCAGTCAAATCCCGTGAGGGTCCCGGTTTAATCTTGGGGTTCAGCACTTAACCCCGGGGGGTCCTGGCCTAGCTCGGGGGTCCTGGTGCACCCCAAGGGTGCCCCCTCGGTCTCTCACTGGGTCCCCCGGGGGTCCCTCTGTCCCCCAGATCCGGAACCTGAACAGCGGCTTCTCCCGGCTCCGGACGTTGGTGCCGCTGGTGCCGCGGGACCGCAAGCCCAGCAAGGCCGACACGCTGCGGGCGGCGGCCCAGTACATCCAACTGCTGAGGGGACTGCTCAGGGACTGCCAGGTGGGCCCCAAAACTGACCCCAAAACTGACCCAAACCCCCCAGTACATCCAACTGCTGAGGGGACTGCTCAGGGACTGCCAGGTGGGCCCCAAAACTGACCCCAACCCCACCCCGAACCCCCCAGTACATCCAACTGCTGAGGGGACTGCTCAGGGACTGCCAGGTGGGCCCCAAAACTGACTCCATATCCCCGAACCCTCCCATAATATGGGGGTTTGAAGGGGCTGGTGAGGGTTTTCTTGGTATTTTTCAGCTTAGAATTAGTAACTCAGTTTATTTTTAATTATTAAGTTGTTGGGGGGCACCCCCATCTCTGGGGACCCCAAAACTGACCCCTGGCCTTCAGCCCATCCCTAAAATGTGGGGTTTGATGGGGGGGTTGATGGGGGTTTGCTTCTTAATTATCAGGTTGGTATTAATTTAATATTTAAAAATAAATTGAGTTTTAACAGGTGGGACACCCCAAAACTGACCCCCAAGCCCCCTTTAATGTGAGATTTGGGGAGCTGAAGGGGATTTTCCTGCTTGAAGTTTTTGAGGTTGGAATTAAGTTAATAATTAAAATAAATTGAATTATTATTGGGGGGTGGGTCGTTATTACTGGGGGGGATCTGCTGTTTTTCCAAGGGGGGAAATTTTAATACATTTTTAAATATTTTTTATATATTTTTTTAATTCCCCTTTTCCCAGCAGCTCGATGCTGATGCTGAGCAGCAGTTGGGGGACACTGGGGGGGTCCCACCAGAGGGGCCGCCTGAGAACCCGCCTGGCAGTGCCCCCCCATGCCCATGGGGACCCCCTGTCCTGCCCCCCTGCCCTGGGGCTCTGCAAGAGAGCGGGGGGACGGTGAGTGGGGGTACCCTGGCAGGGTGGGGGGACACCTGAGGGGGACAGAGCCCCTTGGGGGGCACCTGGGGGCACGGGCGGGGGGGCACCTGGTTTATACAGACATAAACAGGGGGGGCTTCAAAGCACCTTTCACCCCAAAATATTCCAAAGGTGCAAAAAAAATCTTTTTTTTTTCTTTTCTTTTAAGGTTTTTCCTGCCATCCCCAAAATTCCAGGGGGGTCCACGGGGGACCCCCCCTACGGTCACGTTCAAGGCTCCAGACACCATTCTTGGGGTCACACTCCTGTCCCGGAGCCCTGCACCCCATGAAACCAGCACCCCAAAACTGGGGGTGTGTGGGGGGGTGTCCATCACCCCTAAAACGAGGGGGGTGAGGGGGGTAGAGCTGTAATTAATTGCTCTATGAAATTGTAATTAGTAATTATCTGCCCCTCCCCCCCAGGTGAGGGCTGATTAGTGATTGTTAGTATAAATCCCAATTAATTGCGTTAATGAAAGGAGGTCGCGGGGTGTCGGCGCTGTTTTTTGGGGGCTTCCCCCCTTGTTTATTTGCAGTGATTGGGTTCTCGGGGGGGCCCGGGGGGAGGGCGGGGCGGGGGGAGGTGCGGGGACACGCGTGGTGTGTCGGGGGGGGGGCGGCCCTTTGTCAGGATGCTCTGAGGAGGAGGAGGAGGAAGGTGGGTGATGGCAGCAGCCCCCGGCCGCAGCATCCTTGGGAGGGGGGGGGTTGGGGGTGGGGGGACGGCTGGGTGACCCCCCTCTTTTCCACCCCCCACTCCCCATCTGGCTGCATGCAGGTGAGGGGGGGCTGCATCCCTCCCCCCCTTTCCCAGGCCTTCATCCCTCGGTGGTACCCGACCCCACCCCTCCCCCCACCCCATCCCCACCCCGGGGGGGTGCGATGCTGCAGCCCCCCCAAATCCATCCCGGTTTTCCCGCTGCCCCCCCGCCCTGCGGCTGCCGCAGCGGCGCTGGGCGCGGCGAGGGCGGAGGCGGCGGGGGGAGATGCTGGGGGGGGCAGCTTTGGGGAGTCCTACCCCACCCACAGCCCCCCTAGGCTTGCGGGGGGACCCTTAGAGCCCCCCCCGGCCCCTGGGGGTGCTCAGGCCCTGCGGCCTGGGGGCACCGGGGCCCCCCCCGGATTTTATCCCAGCCAAGGTCCCCCCTTCCCGCTGAGCCAGGTGTGCACCCAGCACTGAAATTTGGGGGGCTCTAATTTCGGGGGGGGGCTCTGCTTCCGTACTTAGTGATGGGGGGGCTTGAGGGTCACCGTCCGAGATCTGGGGGAGCAGCCCCGCCCTGTGCTTTGGGGGTGCCTGGGCAGCAGGGCCCCCAAAGCACTTCAGTGACGATGCTCTTGGGGGGTGGGGGGGTCCCCGGGCTGGGGGGTTGGCTGAACCCTGACACACGCGGTGGCACTGCAGCATCAGCCCCGCGGTGCTGGGTGACCCCAATTCGGGGTGGGGGTCACGGGGGTGCGCCCGTGGGTGTGCTGAGGTGTGTCCGTTCTCAGCTCCCATCGGTGCATTGAGCTGTGTCCGTTCTCAGCTCCCATCGGTGCACTGAGCTGTCGGTTCGCAGCCCCCGTGGGTGTGTTGAGCTGCACCTGTTCTCAGCCCCTCTTCCCGTGGGTGTGCTGAGCTGCCCGTTCTCAGCAGCTGCTCCCCCTGGTGCACAAGTGGTCCCTGTTCTCAGCCCCTGCCCCACTGCTGCACCGAGCCGTGCTCGTTCTTGGCCACCACCCACATCGGTGCGTTGAGTTTTGCCCGTTCTCAGCTGCTGTTCCCATTGGTGCACAGAATTGGGCCGGTTCTGAGCTCCCATCTGTGCACTGAGTTGTGCCCGTTCCCGGTTGCCACCCACAGCAGTGTGCTGAGCTGCACCCATTCTCAGCCACCATGTTCATCAGTGAGTGCACTGAGTTGTGCCGGTTCTCAGCCACTGCTCCCATCAGTGTGCCAGGCTGTCCATTCTCAGCTCCCTGTCATGCGCTGAGCTGTGCCTGATCTCAGCTGCCGCTTCCATCGGTGCACTGAGCTGTGTCTGTTCTCAGCTCCTGCTTCCATCGGTGCACTGAGCTGTGCCTGTTCTCAGCTGCCACCCTCAGCGATGTGACTGTTCTTGGCTACCTCTTCCATCAATGTGTCGAGCTGCCTGTTCTCAGCTCCCATCAGTGCACTGAGCTGTGCCCGTTCGTGGCCACTGCTCCCACCCATGCACCGCGCTGGGCCCATTCTCAGCTGCTGCTCCTCCCATCAATGCACTGAGCTGCCTGTTCTCAGCTCCCATCGGTGCACTGAGCTGGGTCCATTCTCAGCCACTGTCCCCACGCTACCCCGATCGGTGCCCGTTCTTGGCGGCTGCTCCCATTCTCAGTTCCCACCAGTGCACTGAGCTGTGCCCATTCTCAACTGTCAGTCCCATCCGTGTATTGAGCTGCACTCGTTCTCAGCTCCCATCCGTGCACCGAGTTGTGCCCGTTCTCAGCCACAGTCCGTTAGTGCGCATGCACTGAGCTGCCCGTTCTCTGTGCCCATCACTGTGCTGAGCTGTGCCCGTTCTCAGCTGTCACTTCCTCAGGGAGTGTAACTGAGGCCGGGCGGTGCAGGCAGCAGAGGATCCCCCCCGTCCCGGGTGTCCCCAGCCTGCCAACTCGTCACCCCTGGGGCAGGGCGGGGCCACCCGGGCCTTATCTGCGGGGTGCAGCTGTGGGGTATCTCGGTGGCTCCTTCCCAATCCGTGTTTGGGGCATGGTGCGGGTGCCGGGGGTGACGCCGCGCGTCCCGCAGGATGAGCACGGCCGCCAGCCCCGAGCCCCTGCCCGAGCCCCCCGGGCCCCGCTGCGCCCCCCAGGACGGCGCCGAGTTCCTGCGGGCGCGGGGCGGGGGGGGGGACCTGCGCCAGGACTTCAACCTCATGGAGCAGAAGAAGCGGGTGACCATGATCCTCCAGAGCCCGGTGAGCCCCTGCCCCCGCGCTGTCCCCACGCTGTCCCTTCTGGCCCCAAAACCCCTCTCTTGTCCCCAGCCCCAGCCCTCCTGTCCCCCATCCCGTCCCGCCTGTCCCCAAACCCTGTCTTTCGTGTCCCCAACCCCTTCCTTCCCGTCTCCCATCCTTTCTGTCCCCAACCCCTTTCCCTCTTGTCCCAGCCTTCCTGTCCCCAAGTCCAGCACTCTTGCCCCAACCCCATCCTTTGTGTCCCTGCCCCATCCCTCCTTCCCCCGCCCCGTCCCTCCTGTCCCCAGGCCAATCGGTGCCACCGCGATGCCACCAAGTGTTGGCTCGGTGCGTGTCCTCACCTGCCAACGTCACTGCTCCGGTGCTGCTGTCACCGACCTGCCAGTGCCCCCGCTGCCACTGTGCCAACACGCCAGTGGTGACACTGGCACCAAGATGGTGATGCCACCATCGCTGTGCCACCCAGCCGGTGATGCCACCAGGCCAGTGGTGTCGCTGACACCAAGCCAGCAGTGCCACCATCGCTGTGTCACCAAGCTGGTTGTGTCACTGACACTGAGCTGCTGGTGTCCCTAACACCAAGCTGGCAGTGCCACTTCCACTAAGCCGGTGATGTTGCCCTCCCCCACCCCCCCATGTCCCCAATGGTCCCCCCACGTTGTCACCGTGTGCCTGGGTGCCGCAGTCCTTCCGGGAGGAGCTGGAGAGCCTCATCCAGGAGCAGATGAAGAAGGGGAACAACTCGTCGCACGTGTGGGCGCTGCGGCAGATCGCCGACTTCATGGCCACCACGTCCCCCGCAGCCCTGCCCACCTCCCCCATGGGTACACGGGGCATGAGGGGGTGTGGGGGCACTCACGGGAGGTGTAATCTGTGGGGGCGTGGGTGGGAAAACCCACAAAAACTTGGGAGCCACCAAACCTTTGAGGGGCACCAAAATCTTTGGGGCCACACCTTGAGGGTCACCAAACCTTTGGGACCTGTGGGATCCCCAAAACCTTTCGGATCATCAGACCTTCGGGACCTTGGGGGGCCACCAAACCCTTGGGAACCCCACAACACTTTGAGGAACACCAAATCTTTGAGGCCACCAAACCTTGGGGGCCAACCAAACCTTCGAGGCCTTGGGGACCCCCAGAACCTCAAGGGCCACCAAACGAACCTCAGGGACCACTAAAACCTTTGGGGTCACTGAACCTTGAGGGCCAGCAAACCACGGGGGCCACCAAACCCATCCCCACAACTCCCCACTCCCCCGTCTCTGGTGAACCCCCCCGCGGCTTGGGGGGTCCCAGCACTGACGAGGGGTCCCCAATGCCCAGGGCTGGCGTCGGTGACCCCCATTAACGACCTGCACGGGACGGAGGGGCCGGCGCTGGCCAAGGGCGAGCGGCTGATGCGCTGCAAGGTGGGCAGCATCCACCGGCTGCTGGACCTGTACGGCTGGGCACAGCTGGGGCACGCCGCCGTCACAGTGAGCACCCCAAAACCGGCACGGGGGGGTTGGGGAGGGCCTAGGGAAGTTGCGGGGGGATCAGGGTTGTCTGGGGGCCATTTGGGGGAGTTAAGGGGGGTTTGGGACCTGCTGCAGCTGAACGCAGCTGGGGAATGCCACTGTCATGGGAACACCCCACAGCTTGGACAGGGGGGATTGGGTTGTTTTGGGGGGATTTCAGGGAGTTTGGGGTTATTTTGGGGGTGTTGGAGGGGATTGGAGATGTTTTGGGCCCTGATGGACCTGTACATCTGGGCACAGCTGGGGAATGCTGCTGTCACTGTGAGCACCCCAAAACCGGGACGGGGGGGATTGGGGTGTGTTGGGGTTGTTTGGGGGGACTTAGGGAAGTTTGGTGGCTGGTGGGGGGTTTAGGGAGATTTGGGGGAGTTAGGGGGGTTTGAGACCCCCTGGAGCTGTACAGCTGAGGGCAGCTGGGGCACATTACTGTTACCGTGAGCACCCCAAAACTGGGATGGGGGGGCTTGGGAGGACTGGGGGGGATTTGGAGGAGTTTGGGGGGAAGCTGCAGTTATTTGGGGGGGATTGGAGGGATTTTGGGTCCTGCTGGGCCTGTACAGCTGGGGAACGCTGCTGTCACCACGAGCACCCTGAAACCAGAATGGGGGGGCCTGGGGGCTTTGGGGGGAGTTTCAGGGGAGTTGTGGTTTTTTGAGAGGGGTTTCAGGGGGTTTGGGTTGTTTTGTGGGTGTTTGGTGTTGTCTGGGGGGTTTGGGGCCCTGCTGGACCTGTAGAGCTGGGCACAGCTGGGGCACATCACCATCACCATGAGCACCCAGAAAGGCCGTGGAGGGCTGGGGTTGTTTTGGGGGGATTTGGGGGAGTTAAGGGGGTTTGGGGACCTTTGGGGGGGTTGGAGATTTGGGGGAAGTTGGGGATTTTTAGGTGGTTTGGAGAGTTCTTGAGGGGAGTTGGGGGTTTGGGAGATTGGGATTTTGGGGGGTTGGGGATTTTGTGGTATTTTTTTGGAGGGGGAGTTTGAGGGGCTTGGGGCTTTGTGAGTAGTTGGGGGGTTCTTTAGGGGTGTTGGTTTTTGGGGGGAGATCGTAGATTTTTTTAAGGGTTTGGGAGTGTTTGGAGGAGTCATTTTGGGGGGGGATGCAGGATGTTTTTGGGAGGGTCTTGGCTTGTTTTTCACGCCCCTCTGTCCCCCTCTGTGACAGCTGAGGGTCAGCAAGGAGCAGGAGCACTTCTTGGTGGCCCCGCAGGGGTTGGCGTGCAGCGAGGTGACCGCGGCCAGCCTGGTGAGCCCCCCGCCCCTAACCCCGACCCCACGCTGGCTGTCTGGGGGCAGGCCCGGCCCCCCTGACGCCGCCGCGCCCCCCAGGTGAAGGTGAACGTGCTGGGGGCCGTGGTGGAGCCCGGCAGCACCGGCTTCGCGCCCGACGCCCGCAGCTTCAGCCTCCACGCCGCGATCTACGCGGCGCGCCCCGACATCCGCTGCATCGTGCGGCTGCACACCCCGGCCGCGGCCGCTGTACGGACCGGGGGGCTTGGGGGGGCTTTGGGGGGGCTTTGGGGGCTGCACACCCCGGCCGCGGCCGCTGTACGGACTGGGGGGCTTGGGAGGAGCTGGGAGGGCTTTGGGGGAGTGGGGGGTCTTTGGGAGAAGCTGGGGTTTGGGGGGATTTGGGGGATTGAAGGGTGTTACGGTGATTTGGGGACAATGGAGGATGGGGGGATTTGGGGGGGTTTTGGGGGGATGAAGGATTGGGTTAGTTTGGGAGAGTTGATGGTCTTTGGGGGAAGTTGGGGTTTGGGGGGATTTGGGGATCGAAGGGAATTATGGGGATTTGGGGACATTGGAGAATGGGGGAGTTGGGGGGGCTTTCGGGGGGATGGAGGATTGCGTTAGTTTGGTAGAGTTGAGGGTCTTTGGGGGAGCTGGGGTTTGGGGGGATTTGGGGAGTTTGAAGGGGAATTGGAGGTGTTGGGGGGTTGTGGGGGAGGGGAGGATTGGGGCTCTAGGGGGGAAATTGGGATTTGGGGGGACTGTGGGGGTTCAGAGGGTATTATAGGGATTTGGCAGCACCGGGGGCTGGGGGGAGACTGGGTGAGTTGGGGGTGTTTGGGGGAGATGGGTTAGAGGAGTTGGGGGTATTCGGGGGTGTTTGGGGACTTCAGGGGAAGTTGGGGTTTGGGGGAGTTATGGGGGTTTGGAGGGTATGACAGGGATTTGGGGGCATTGCGGGTTTGGGGGACTGGGAGAATCATGGTGTTTTGGGGGGGGTCAGGAGAGTTGGACAGATTTGGGGGAGTTGAGGGTCTTTGGAGAAGGTTGAGGTTTGGGGGGATTTGGGGGGTTTGAAGGATATTTTGGAGACTTGGAGTTTTTGGGGGTTGGGGAGAACAGGGAGAGTTGGGGGATGGGGGGATTTGGGTATATGGGGGCTTAAGGAAGTTGGGTGTCTTTGAGGGAAGGGTTGGGCTGGGGAGGATTTTGGGGCCTTGAAGTGTATTATGGGATTTGGGAGCATTGGGGGTTTGGAGGGGACAGGGAGAGTTGGAGGTAATTGGGAGTGTTTCTGGAGATTGGGGTTGTTTGGGCTCTTTGGGGGCAGTTTGGTTTTGGGTGGGATTTTGTAGTTGGGTGGTGGAGGGCTTGGGGGGAATTTAGGAACTTGGTTTTGGGGGGATTTTGGGGGGGTGGAGGGTTTTTGGGGATGGCTTTTTTGGGGGTTGTGGATTTTTTGGGAGTGGAGTTCTTTGTGGGGTTCTTTGGTTTCGTGTTTCTTTTTGTGGGATGTTGGAGGGGGTTCGAGGGTGGGTTTTTCGGGGCATTGCCGGTTTTTGGGGTGCTGCCGTTCTGCGGGGGTGCTGGGGATCCCCTGTCCCCCCCTGCCCTGTCCCCCCCGTGCCCAGGTGTCGGCCATGCGCTGTGGGCTCCTGCCCATCTCCCGGGCCGCGCTGCTCCTGGGGGACGTTGCCTACTTCGACTTCCGCGGGGAGGTGGAGGACGAGGCCGACCGGGTGGAGCTCCAGAAGTGCCTCGGGCCCACCTGCAAGGTGAGGGAGCGCCTGGGGGGGACGTGGGGTGGCCCTGCCGCCCCTCCCCGCCCCGCTGATCTCCTGGTGACCCACAGATCCTGGTGCTGCGGAACCACGGGGTGCTGGCGCTGGGGGACACGGCCGAGGAGGCCTTTTACAGCATCTTCCACCTGCAGGCGGCCTGCGAGGTCCAGGTGAGTGCAGGGCGTGTGATGAGCTGTGTGTGGGCTCAGCTGACGGCCTGGTGACCCTGGCAATGGGAACTGAGCTGTGTATGGCCTCAGCCAACACCATGGTACCCCAGGAATGAGCACTGAGCTTTGTGTGGGCTCAGCTGCAGCCACAGGCCCCAGGACCACGCACTGAGCTGTGCCAGGTCTCTGCCACTACCATGGGGCCCTGGCCATGAGTGAAGCTGTGCCAGGCCTCAGCCACCAGCCCAGTGCCTCGAGACTCTGCACTGAGCTGTGCTGGGTCTCTGCAGTCAGTGCAGTGTCCTGGGTCCGTGAGCTGAGCTGTGCCAGGTCTCTGCTGCCAGAACAGTGCCCTGGGCCTGTGCACTGAGCTGTATATCGTCTCACCCCCTGCTGCAGTGCCCCATGACCAGATCTCTACCACTTGCACAGTGCCCCAGGACCATGCACTGAGCTATGCCAGGTCTCTGCAGTCAGCACAATGTTCTGTGTCCATGCACTGAGCTATGCCAGGTCTCTGCAGTCAGCACAATGTTCTGTGTCCATGCACTGAGCTGTGCCAGGTCTCTGCAGTCAGCGCAGTGTTCTGTGTCCATGCACTGAGCTGTGCCAGGTCTCTGCAGTCAGTGCAGTGTTCTGGGTCCATGCACTGAGCTGTGTGCGGTCTCAGCCCCCGCAGTGCCCAGCACAGGGGCCGTGGGCAGGGCTGGGGCTGCCCCTCGTGCCCCCTGCCCTCACCCTGCCCCTCGCCCCGGGCAGGTGTCAGCGCTGGCGAGTGCAGGCGGCGCCGAGAACCTGATCGTGCTGGAGGGGGCGAAGCAGCGGGTGCCCCACGGCCCCGGCGCCCTGCGCCGCGCCGGCACCACCTTCGGGCCCCTGCACAAGAGCCGCCTGGGCGAGCACGAGTTCGAGGCCCTCATGAGGATGTTGGACAACCTGGTGAGCACCCAAACGACCGAACCCCCCCGGGCCCCCTGAACCACGCTCGGACACCTCTTTGTCGCCCCTGCCTTGACACCTCCCTGCTCTCTGCTCCCCAGGGGTACCGCACGGGCTACACGTACCGCTACCCCTTCGTGCAGGAGAAGAGCAAGCCCAAGAGCGATGTGCTCATTCCGGCCACCGTGACGGCCTTCGTGTTCGAGGAGGAGCCCGCCGGGACCCCCGCGCTGCGCCAGCACGCCCAGAAGCAGCAGAAGGAGAAGACGAGGTGGCTCAACACCCCCAACACCTACACCAGGGTCAGCCTGGCCGAGGAGCCGCAGGGCAGCGCCGGCGGCCAGAGGACAAAGACCACGGTGAGGGGCAGATGCGGCTGCACGGGGCCGTTGGGGATGTTTGGGAAGGGATTTGTCTCGGGAACGATGACAGGTGGGGCGTGGGGGATCCCAGGTAGGGGTGGCCGGGATGTTACTGATCCTACTAAAATTTGCAAGGCCCAGGGATCCACCCTCAGCTCATAATAATGGTTAGTTTGAAATCCCACCACCCCTTTTTGGAGGACTGAGAGCCATTGGCTTTGTGGGGGTCTGCCTCTATTACTGGAGTCTCCCCTTTATGCAAAATGCATTTCTTGGGGTCTGCCCTCTATGTAAAATGAGTTTATTGTGGTCTTCCCACATTTATTGTCATCTTCCTTCTATCTAAGTTGAGTTTATTTGGGTCTCTCTGCATTTATTGGAGTCTCCTCTCTATTATCAGCGTCTCCCCCCTACACAAGGTGCATTTGTCAGGGTCTTCCCATATTTATCAGGATCTCCCCTCTATGTAAAATGCATTTATTGGCATCTCCCCTCTACTACTGGGGTCTTTCCTCTATGTAAGGTGCATGTGTCAGGGTCTCCCCCCTGTACAAGGTGCATTTACTGTGTCTCCCCTCTACACTGGGGTCTCCCCTCTGCACAAGTTGCATTTATCAGGGTCTCCCTGCACTTCTTGTGTCTCCCCTCTATTATCGAGGTCTCCTTTCTGTTATTGGGGTCTCCCCCTTCCCAACACACCTTTTCTGGGGTTCCCTCCCTGCTGCTGCAGTGGCTGCGAGCGGACGAGGTGGAGAAGGGCAGCAGTGGGACCCCCATTCGCATCGAGAACCCCAACCAGTTCGTGCCCCTCTACACGGACCCGCAGGAGGTGCTGGAGATGCGCAACAAGGTGCGGCCCCACGGGGCTGGGATGGGGCACGGGGGGGATTTACCCCCATCCTCGGGGGGATTCAGCCCTGTCCTCACCCTCAGATCCGGGAGCAAAACCGCCAGGACGTGAAGTCAGCCGGGCCCCAGTCGCAGCTGCTGGCCAGTGTCATCGCCGAGAGCAGCCGCAGCCCCGTAGGCACCGAGTCACCCTGTGTCACCCTGTGTCACCCTGTGTCACCCTGTGTCACCTTGTGTCACCCTGTGTCCCCAGCCCCATGTCACCTTGTGTCCCCAGCACATGTAACCCTGTGTCACCCTGTGTCCTCAGCCCTGTGTCACCCCATGTCCCCAGTCCCACACCACCCTGTGTCCCCAGCCCTGTGTCACCCCGTTTCCCCAACGCCTTGTCACCCCAAATCCCCGGTCACAGCTCTGACCAGCATTGTCACCAAGACCAGCCACAGTCCCACACATGGCACTGTGTCACCTCATGCCACACTGTGTCCCCAGCCCTGCACCCCCAGCCCCATGTCACCCTGTGTCACCCCACGTCACCTAATGTCGCCAGCCCCATGCCACCCCGTATTCCTGGTCCAATGTCACCCAATGTCCCCAGCCCCATGTCCCCACACATCCCCCTCCTCAGATCACCAGCCCTTCCCTCCCCAGCATTCCACTGGTGAAGGGGGTGACACCACTCCAGAGGGGTGACACTGCTGTGGAGGGGGTGACACCACCCTGGAGGAGGCTGATGGTGCTCTGAGGGAGGATGTGACCCCACTCTGGAGGGGGTGACACTGTTCCGGGGGGACTGACCTCACTGGGGGGGTCTGTTCCAGTCCACCGAGAGCCACCTGGGGGACACGGAGGCCAAGGAGGGCTCCCGGGAAGAGGCTCCCCCTGAGCCGGAGCCCCCCAACCCCTTCAGCCAGCTCACGGACCAGGAGCTGGAGGAGTACAGGCAGGAGGTGGAGAGGAAGAAGCGGCTGCAGGGTAGGAGGGGCGCCCCAAAATCCCCCATCTCCCCCGGGTGGCACCCAGGGCACCCCAAAATCCCCCATCTCCCCCGGGTGGCACCCAGGGCACCCCGTGGCCAACGTGTCTCTCCGTGGCAGGTGAGAAGGATGCGGCGGCCGAGGAGAGCGGGGCCCCCCCGCCCAAAGCCCCCCCTGGCTCAGCCCCGGAGCCCCCCGTGCCTGCGGAGCCCACGGAGGGTGAGTGGGGTGACGAGCACCCCAAACCCAGGAGCGGGCCCCCCCGAGCAGATGCAGTGGGGGGATGAGGGGGCTGAGGCCAAACCACGCTGACACAGCTCGATGTGCCCCCGTGTCCCTCTGCCTGTCCTGGGGGGTCCCTGCTCCGGAGGGGCCAAGCCCCGGTGGGAATTCATGGCAGGAGGACACGAGTGTCCACTGGTGGCTTTGTGGGGTACAGGGACACCCCTGTCCCCCATCCCAATTCCCGCACTCCGGCGGGTGCGACATTCCCGTCATTCCGGTCGGCTGTGGGTGTCGGGGCTCGGGGCTGCTGGCTCTGCCATGGTGTCTCGTGGTGTCTGTCTGTCTGTCTGTCTCCACAATGTCTCCTTTCTCTTTCCTCCCCGTGTGCCTGTCACCCAAGGAGTTATCCCTGAATCCCTGGTGCCGTAGTAAGTACGGAGAGGCCATCCCGGAGGAGGGACACGGGCTCGGGGGGAACTTTGCTCTCCGTGACCCACTCAGGGATCCCCAAGGAAGGAAATCCCTTAGGAAATCCACTGGGAAATCCCTCCTTGTTTGCTTCCTGCTTTTCCCGCTGCCTCTTCCCAGCTCTCCATCCCACATCGCTTGTCCCGCAGGGAGGGGGGAGGTTCGGGGAAGCGGCACCTGTGGCAGGACGGGATCAAATCCCAATGTTCTCCACCCCTGGAGGGCAAATCCTATTCCTGCCCAGGCCCCAGCAGTGACTGGGGGACCAAACCCTAACAGCACGGGCACTGCCACCCCAATTCCCTGTCCCCTCTCCGCTCCCAAGGTGACAAGAAGGTGGATGGCGGCCAAGCCCCGGCCGATTCCACCACCAAGAAGGAGCCGCCGGCGGTGGTGAACGGGAAGGACGAGGAGCAAAGCACCGAGGAAAACCTGGGAAAAGGGGGGACGGAGCGGACAGCCCCCAACGCCGACCAGGATGTCCCCAAGGAGAAGGAGACGGTGACCAGCACCCCCGTCTCCCCCGACGGTTCACCCTCCAAATCACCCTCCAAGAAGAAGAAGAAATTCCGGACCCCATCTTTCCTGAAAAAAGGCAAAAAGAAGGAAAAGATCGAATCTTGAGTCTCCCTGGAGGCCTCGCTGGCGGTGGTGGCCATCCCTGGGATCCCCCGGGGCAGGGGGACGGCTCCTGCCTCGCGCGTCTGGCCGAGGCCCAGCCCCAAACCCCGGAATCCGGCTGTTTTCCGGGTCCTCCTGGCACGAGGCACCTCGTCCCCCTTGTCACCCGCTCCTGGAGGTGGTCACCGAGCTTAGAGAGACTGTGGTCCCCACCTGGGAAAATTCCTGCTGCACCTCCCTCCCCCTCTCCCTCCTGGGCTCCGGCCTCTTCCCACCACGGGCTGAGAGTTGGATTTTCCCACCAGAGCCCGGATCCGCTTGATTTGAGGAAGAAAAGGGTGTTTTGTGGTTATTTTCTTCACCTTCTGTTTCAAGCTCTGCTGGAATGGCGTTGGCTTCATCCCCAGGGAAAACTGCCTGTTGCTTCACCAGGAGAATGGGACCGAGATGAAGGTGGGGGATTGCTCTTCCCAAAGGAGAAGCCAAGGTTTCTCCTTCCTGGATCGTAATCTTCCTCTCCTTGGGCTGAAGAACCGCTTCCTCCCCTTCTCCTGGTGCTCCTATCCCCCGTCCCCCCCACCCGAGGAAGAGCAGCAGGATTTCCCACCCCTGGAAAAGCCCCCACCGCACTCCATGACCCGCACCCGGGAAAGTAGGGAAAAATCACCTCCGGGAATCACCTGTGTTACTTAAAACTGAGCAAAACTCACTCACCAAGTGCTACTTCGGGATGAACACACGCTGCCAACTCCTGCCGGTGCCCCCGGCCCCGCTCACACCGCCCCACCCATGACAGATCCCTGCTTTGCCCAGCTCTGGATTCCCAGCACAAGTTCAGTCCTTCCTGGCGTTCCCTTCCCTCCCAGAGTTACAACCTCCCGGCCAAACCTCTTCCCAGGAAGAAGAGCCCCAGCCCTGCTGATCTGCCCCGCAGCCGCTCCAGTGCTGGGATTCTGAGGATAACCCAGCGGGATCAGGCCCCATCCTCCCAATTTCCTGCAGTGCTCACCCTGAGCCTTCCACGGGGTCCTGTCCAGGGGGGTCTGGGGCACCCCAGAGTCCCTGTATTGGGGTTCCCTCACTCCCAGCAGGATTGTCCCATGTGCCATCACTGTGGTTTCCAGGCTTTTCACTGCTGTGAGGCAGCTCCAGGGGGGTTGGATAACCTCCGGAAGAGCAGGAAGCCCATGGGATGGGATATGGGGAGGGATCGGGGTGCAGGAAAGAGCAGAGAGACCCCTGGGTTACCAGACCCCCACAGCCAACCTGAGCCTGGAGGTTGGGAAGAGCCTTTGCCCTGCCCAGTGTTCCCCCAGGTCCCCATCCTGCTCCCACAGGGACTGGGGGAACCAAGGGGACACCCTGAGCCTCCAAACCCCCTCTGTGCCCCCAGCCCTGTCCCCGGGGGGGCTGTTCCTCACTGCCACTGATTTTAAGGCTCTTTGAGGCCATTTTTGTCCCTGGGCCTGTTCCCCCCGGGTGACCCCCCAGGGACAGCTGTGTCACCTCCCCGGGTGGCACCATCACACCCGGGGGCGTTCCTGAATGACAGCACTGCCACACAGCCCAGCCCCGGCCCGGGGGCTTCATCACCCCTTTGTCCCTGAGGGACTGTCCCTGGGAGTTCTGTCACGCCTTTGTCCCCAAAGGTTTGTCCCCAGGGCCTTTGTCACTCCTTTCTCCAAGGGCCACGGGCTTTGCAGAGGTGACAGGGATTGATTTCCCCATCCATGGAATTCCAAGGCTCTCGGGCAGGGAGGGACTCGGTGCCCCAGCAGGGACAAAGGCTCCCGTGCCACCATCATCCCACGGCGAGGGTCCCTCCCGGCTGCTCAGCTGGAAGGACACGGATCTGAGATCACATCCCAGGACCACCCTTGGGATAACCCCCCATCCTGGCTCCCTCCCCTTGCTCCAGCAAGGCTCGAGGTGGGGGTCTCTCCAGGGAGGGCAGGGATGGGGTGAATCCCTGGCTCGGGGCTGTGCTGGAGAACAGAGGCTGATCCCCTCGTTGGCCGCGGGGAGGGCGATCCAGCGGGATCCAGAGACCCTTTTCCCACCTGGGGCTCCCGGCAGGGCCCCGCCGCGGGACTTGGGGGGGTGGAAGCCCCGGGAGGAGGCCGGGATGGGGGATGTCCCCGCGGGTGACAATCGCGGCCGGGAGCGGTGGAACACCGGTGTAAATAAACAAATAAACCCCGTGTTTGGCACCGGCAGCGCCCGGACACTGCGGGGAGAGAGGGGGGTCCCGGGTTCGGGGGCTGGGATGGACATGGGATGGGGTGGGGATAAAGCTGGGGATGGGGGTGAGATGGGGGGGATGGGGATACCAGGATGGGGAGGGGGGTGGAGCTGGGATGGAGTTGGGAATGGGGATGAGATGGAGCTGAGGATGGGGAGGGAGCTGGGATGGAGGTGGGGGTGGGGATGGAGCTGAGATGGCATAGAGGAAGGGATGGGGATGGAGCTGGGGATGAGATGGAGCTGGGATGGGATGGGATTGGGACAGGGATGGGGATGGAGCTGGGATGGGGATGGGTCTGGGGATAGAGATAGGGCTGAGGATGGTGTGTGGACGGACAGGGGGATGGAGTTGGGGTGGGACAGGGCTGGGATGGGATGGAGGTGGGGATGGAAGTGGAGCCGGGGCTGGGCCTGGAGTCAAGCCTATTTATTTTTACCCACAGAAATGTTAACGTTTGAGAACCCTTAAGGGTTCACCCTGGGGGTCTGGAAGACACCTCTGGAACTGCTGCACAGTCTCTCCTCCCCTTCTCTTTGAGGGGACAGATGCCAAGTTCTCCTTGCAAGTTTGAAGGGCTGCCCTGACCAGGGAAATTCAGGTCTTGGTTCCTTTCTGGGTGCAGGGAGGACAACGGGAGATGTGCCAGTACCTGGACAAGCACTGCCACGTTCCACATGGATGTTGGCTTTCCACGTTTCCCTCGTGTTTCCCAGAGGATGCAGCAGCTGGATCAACACCTGGGTGTTCCATTAAATACAACACTTTCTGTCTCAGAGCAGGGAGTTGAACTTCAACAATAGGGATGTGCAACTTCAAATTTTGTCTCTCCTCTGCAGCAGGAGAGGAGTGTGACAGCAGGAGTTGTGCTCATCTAATTAGGTGGATTCTCAGGTAGAATCTGGGGAAAATCAGGCCAGTCACAAAATTGGTTTTGCTGAGAAATTGCCGCTTCCCACAATTTATCTCAGTTTCGTTTGTAGAAGATGCTGCCGGTCAGAAACAGGAATTCTTTTCTGATCTAAAACAAGTCTCTTGGTTCATATCCAGAACTGAAAAGCCCTCCCAGAGTGATGCAGGAACCTGCAGCCCGTGACTGTACCCACAGCCTGTGACCTGTCACAGCCCCTGCAGGGAACAGCCTGGGGGGAGTGGGAAGGACCAGACCTATGGTAGGTCTAACATTCACATTTTAAAGCAGATCTGCATTTGCCAGCCGGGATAGGATTGGAGCTATGGCAAGAAGAGACACTTTGGTAGGACAAGAGAGGCTCCAGCCAGGTACAGTTTTGAGGGAGGAAAATTTTCTGTTAAACCTTTAATAAAAAAAAGGACACTAGTGCAGATACTGAATCTGCTTTACACAGTGTTACTTGTCTGGAACCAGACTACAGGATGAATTATTGGAATCATCTGAATATATAAATGCTGGGCTAAGCCAGAAATACCACAGCCCCTGTTCAAACAGTCCTTTCCCAAAAGGCCATTCTCCCACACCCCTGCACACATGCAGGCTGTTAAAATCGTTTGCAGAGAGGTATTTTCATCCAGTTTTTGAATCAATCAGCCAACTTTAATCTCCAAGAGGAATTTTAGGCAAGTATCTGTTTGCAAAGCAGCATTTTACTAATAAAAAGAATTATAAGCAGTAAGAAGCCTGAAGAAAACCACTGTGATGAAGCTGCAGTTACAGGCAGACTTTTCCCTTCCTTGGCCTTCACATGGTATAAAATCACAGTAAGAAAAAGCAAGACAAAATTAGTGGGGTCTGTTTTCACCATCTACCTGGTGGTGACTCCCATTCAGGAGAACAGAAGCCACTGCTAATCATGGCAGAGTCCTTCCAAAGTGTTAAAAGGGGTCATTTAAGCTCCTCTGAAGGTGCAAGAGTAACAAAAGCTTATCCATGGTGCTCTTTTCTAATCTTCTGCTTGAAGGAGTAACGAACTAGAAGCTCTTCAGCCATGCAGCTGCTGTGAAAGAATGGTGTGAGGACAGGAAAGCTGCCACGAAGAGGAGAGTCTGCGGGGGATGCTGGAAAGGTGAGAAGCAACAAAATTGACCTTCCTCAGCCTTCTAACATCAATATATTGAATTTTCTTGCCAAAGTTATCTAATGGGGAAAAAAGGCTTTTTTTTCTTTTCTTAAATACAACTGTAACTTAAGCCAGCAGTTGAAAACATCATCACGCTGTTTATACTCAATTTTGTTAACAGTTGTGAGAAGGAAAACCAAGTTAAAAGCACTTTTTGGTGTGAAGGAATACAGGACTGGCTCCTTTTCAATGGAAAACTTCTTAGTTTACTGCCCAGGTTTACAAGACGAGTTCAGGAACTCAAATAGAAGAGGCTACAGCACTCAGCCTGCAATGAGGGCTTATTTTCTGAGCAGAAGTGCTGTGCTCCCTAGCTTAGCACCTCACAGACTGTGCCAGAATTTTTGCAGGAACTTCCTGAGCTCTCTCCTCTCCCCTTCCCTTCCCTACCGTGGTGGGTTGGCCCCGGCTGGACACCAGGTACCCACTAAAGCTGCTCTGTCACTGCCCTCTACAGAGGACAGAAAACATAATGAAAGGTTCATGAACTGAGACAAACACCAGGAGAGATCCCTCACCCATCACCGTCACAGGCAAAACAGACTCACCGGGGGGACAGTAACTGAATTTATTAACAACAAAATCAGAGCAGGAGAATGAGAAGTCAAATCAATCTTACAAACACCTGCCCTCCTTCCCGGGCTCTCCCTTCACCCCCTCCAGCAGCGCAGGGACACGGGAATGGGGGTCACAGGCAGCTCATCACACCTCGTTCCTGCTGCTGCTCAGGGGACGAGCCCGAGTCCAACCCCTGCTCCAAGCTGGGCCCCCAAGGGCTCCCAAGTCCTTCCAGCAAACCTGCTCCAGCCTGGGCTCCTCTCTCCACCAGGACCCTGCTCCAGCCTGGGCTCCTCTCTCCACCAGGACCCTGCTCCAGCCTGGGCTCCTCTCTCCACCAGGACCCTGCTCCAGCCTGGGCTCCTCTCTCCACCAGGACCCTGCTCCAGCACGGGTTTCCCAGAGGGTCACAGTCTGTGTCGGGCATCCCCTGCTGCGGGTGGGCTCTTCAGGGCTGCACGTGGATCCCTGACCCGCCCGGCCATGCCCGGGCCGCGGGAGCAGCGCCCGGCGGAAGGAAATGGCTCCGCCGGCCCGTCCCCCTTCCCTCCCCTTCCGTCCTCTCGCTCTCCAGGCTCTGGGGCGGGCGGACAGCGCGGGGAGCCGCGGCTGGCGGGTCCCGATGTGGTGCTGACCCGCTGCTGCAGGACCCGCTCCCGCTCCTCCGGTTCCTGCTCCCGCCCCGGGAGTGAGCGCGGTGCGACCGCGAGCGCGGGGCTGAGGGGCGGCCATGGGCCGCAGCCGCTCCCGGTCACCGCCGCGGCGGGGTGAGGGGAGACCCGGGGTGAGGGGAGTGAGCGGGGACCCGGGGAGAGGGGAGTGAGGGGAGACCCGGGGAGAGGGGAGTGAGGGGGAGACCCGGGGAGAGGGGAGTGAGGGCGACCGGGGAGAGGGGAGTGAGGGAGAACCGGGGAGACGGGAGTGGGGGAAGACCCGGGGAGAGGGGACGTTAGGGGGACCCCGGGGTGAGGGGAGTGAGGGGAGGACCGGGGAGAGGGGATTGAGGGGGGACCCGGAGAGAGGGGAGTGAGGGGGGACCCGGGGTTGTGTGAGGGGCGTGATGCGACGCGGGTGAGTGAGTGCGGGGAGACCCCCCCGGGGTGAGCGGAGCGTGAGGGGGGACCCGGGAGAGGGATTGAGGGGAGACCCGGGGAAAGGGGAGTGAGGGGGACCGGGGTTGAGAGGGGTGAGGGGGACCCGGGGGAAGGGGAGTGAAGAAGGACCCGGGGTGAGGGGAGAGGGGAGTGAGGGGTGAGGGGGACCCGGGGTGAGGGGAGTGAAGAAGGACCCGGGGTGAGGGGAGAGGGGAGTGAGGGGTGAGGGGGACCCGGGGTGAGGGGAGTGAAGAAGGACCCGGGGTGAGGGGTGAGGGGAGAGGGGGGACCTGGGGTGAGGAGTGAGGGGGTTCCGGGGTGAGGGGGAGTGAGGGAAGATGAGGGGCAAGAGGGAACCCTGGCGGGACTCAGGGGGTGACGGGACTGGGGGGGTCGGGGTGAGGGGGCTGGGGGAGGACCCGGGCTGGGGCTCGGGAGGGGCCGGGCCGTGCAGGGCAGTTGGAAGGGCCAGGCCCGGGGCCGGAGCGGGGCCTGGGGCAGCCCAGGGTTGGAGGGGTCCGGGGGCTCCCCAAAAAACCCTCCAGGGCAGGGGCGGCGGTGAGGCCTCGGCTCCTCGCTCTGGGCAGAGTAGAGACTCCCTCCCTCCTCATCTGCTTTCTCCTCCTCTTCTTCCTCCTTCTTTATTTTTCCTTCTCCTCTTCTCTTCCTCCTCCTCTTCTCCCCCTTCTCCTCCTCTTCCTCTCCTCCTCCTCCGGACCCCCTCTCCCCTCCTCAGCCCGTCACCCAACAGCTCATCCCCCCAGTCCCGGGTGATTCCCACCTCCCGAGTGGAGGCTTTTCCTGCTGCTCTTCCCACTCCTAGGGGTGCCCGTGGGGTCCCTGAGCCCGGGACTGTGCTGGGGGCGTCAGGGAGGGCTGAGAGGGGCTGTCCCGGGGGGCTGGGACATGGGACATGGGGACATGGGACAGGGAATGTGGGGGTCCCTGGGCCTGGGGGTCAGGGAGGGGCTGTCCCAGGGTCTGTGCTCGGGAGCCGGGATTTTCTGTCCGGGTTTCCTTTGGGAGGCGGGCAGGGAAGCAGGAGCTGACCCTTCCCTGGGCAGAGCGCCGGCGCTCGCGCTCCACGTCCCGGGACAGGGACAGGCGGCGGCGGGAGCGATCCCGGTCCCGGGACAGGGACAGGAGGAGGAGCCGGTCCCGCTCCCCGCACCGGAGACGATCCAGGTGAGGGCTGGGACATCCAGGTGAAGGCAGGGACATCCAGGTGAGGGCAGAGGCAATTCAGGTGAGGGCAGAGACAATTCAGGTGAGGGCAGGGATGATCCAGGTGAGGGGAGAGACATCCAGATGAAGATGGGAATGATCCAGGTGAGGGTGGGGATGATCCACATGAGGGTGGGACCATCCAGGCCAGACAGGGACACCAGTGTGGGGTGGGGACAGCCAGGTGAGGGCTGTTGGGTGACATGGGGACAGTGGGAGCTCCAGGTGGGAAATCCAGGTGGGAATTGCAGCCCCACCCCGTGTGCCCCAGCAGGTCCCCACGCCGGCACCGCTCCAGCTCCTCATCACCAGTGCGGCCCAAGGAACGCCGGGATGAGGAGAAGAAGGAGCTCAAGGACTCCAAGAAGGAGAGACAGATCACAGGTGAGGGGGGGATTTTCCTCCTGAAACACTCCCACATCCCCTGTGAGACCAGCCCAGGGATACCGGGATTTTTGGGAATCCAAACATCCGTGTTTGCCCAATCCCTGATTTCATTCCTTCAGAGGAGGATCTGCAGGGCAAGACGGAGGAGGAGATCGAGATGATGAAGATGATGGGCTTTGCCTCCTTCGACACCACCAAGGTGAGTGGGGGGCCCGAGGCCACTCCCGTGGGCTCTGCAGTGTCACCCGTCCTGTTTGGGGACAATCCATGGGATTTGGGGAATGTTTCTCCTCAGGGGAAGAAGGTGGACGGTGCTGCCAATGCCTACGCCATCAATGTGTCCCAGAAGAGGAAGTACAGGTGTGTCCCACCTTTTTTTGGGATAGAGAAAGGATTTGTTTGGTGAGGTAACTGTGGCCACTGCCCTTGGGGTGATCCGGCTTCCAAGCCTTGGGAAAATGGGAATTCTGTGAGGTTTAGAGGTGAAAACAGAGGTGAGAGGCGTCTGGATCCCCCTGGGAATGGGGAAATCAGGGGGGGGGTGAGAAGCATGTTGGGAACAGGTGGGATGTGCCCAGTGTGGGCTGAGTGGGACTGGAGCAGTGGGAAGCAATGCTGTTCACCTGGTTTATTCCCAAAGAACACCCGATTTATCAGTTCTGATCCCTTTTTGATGGGAATTTGAGGGTAGAGCCAGGCTGTGCTGCCAGGATCCTCACAGAGCCCTACCTCTGGAGCAGCTCCTCACTGAGAGCCTTCCTGGTTTTGGTCAAATCCATGAGGAATGGGGGTTCCCTGTAGCTGTCAAGCCCTGTTCCCAGCCTCCCCAGGGTGTTTTTGTCCCGATTTCCCCGGATCCAGGGGCTAACTCTGGCTCCATCCCGACCCAGGCAGTACATGAACAGAAAAGGAGGATTCAACAGGCCTCTGGATTTCATCGCCTGACTGGGGGACACGGCCCCCACTGCGGAAGGATTTTGCTTCCCTGGAGGGATCTGGTGCCGGATTCCAGCGGAATTTGGGTTATTCCCAACAAACCCCACGGCCGGAGCTGCCCCAAGTCACCGTTTCCCAGACTTTTGGTATTATTTTTGTACAAAGAGGTCGGTTCCTGGCCGGGATTTTCCTGTGTGTTCCCTAGTTTTGCTTTGTTTCCCTGTTAATAAAACCCCGGATCTGTTTTTTCCTTTAATTTTTATCATTCAGGGATGAGGAGAGGTCGCTGCAAACCTCTGGATTTACACCCAAAATGCAAAATTTAAACCCAATTCCCCCTCACACAAATCCTTGGGAATTAATACAAATCAGTTGAATGCCGAGGGGCCCCATTTGAGCCCTGGGCTCAAACTGGAGGTCCTGGAGGCAGGGGGGCCTCTTTCCCATCACCTGCTCCCCTGGGGGAGCTGTGGGATCTGGGTGCTCCCAGTTTGGGGCGGTTTTGGGTGCTCGGAGCCCTGTCTGGGGTGGGGGTGCCCTGCCCCGGGGGGGTCCCTGGGTGGTTTCCTGATTTGGGGGGGCCCTGCCTTGGGTAAGGGGGGGGGGGCAACGTGCTCCCTGCTGTGGGATGGAGGGGAGGCCCTGCCTGGGATGTCACTGCCCTGGGCTGGGGGTCCTTCCCAAGGCTGAGGGGGGGAGCTGTCTGCAGGGGGCTGCCAGGGGGGCCCCTGCCCTGCATTGGGGGTCTGACCCCAAAGGGGGTGCCTGCACTTAGGGGATTCCTGTCCTGGGGTGGGGGTCCCAGCCCTGAAGGAGATGCACTTGGGGGGTCCTTGCTCAAAGGGACTCACAGCCCTTTGGGTGGGTGGTCCCTGCCCTGGGGGGGGATCCCAGCCATGAAGGGGGTGCCCTGAGGGTCCCAGGGATCCTTCCTCTGTCCTGGGGAGTGTCTGTCCCTGCCCCGGCGGTCCCAGGGGTTTCCTGTTCCTGTCCTGGAGGGAGGTCAGTCCCTGTCCCGGGGTCTGTCCCTGTCCCGGGGGGTCCTCGCGGGTCTCACGTTGCCTCCCCTGCACCCAATCCGAGGCCCCGCCCCCTTCCCGTCCGGCCCCGCCATTGGCTGCGCGGCAGGAAGTGAGTCAGGCGGCAGCGCGTGCGGCGGCGGGGCGGGGCCGTTGGGTGGGCGGACCAATGGCAAGAGGGCGTGGCTCTCTCGCCCAATCACAGCGGGTGGGGGGCGCGGCCCTCGGGCGCCGCCACGCCCTATCACCGCCACTCGTGCGGGCGCTGGGCGGGACCTCCCTTAACGCCCACCAGTGAGCGACCGAGATGGGCGGGGTCTCCCTCAGCGTCGGCCAATAGGCGTTGTCGGGGGCGAGGCCCGAGCGGGGCCTGGCGGAGCGGCCGCTCGGGGCGGGCAGAGGCCGCCGCGCTCCCCCCGCCGCCGGACCGGCCCGTCCCGGCCCCGCCATGGCCGCCCCCCCCCGCCTCGGCATCCAGATGCTGCTGGAGGCCGCCGAGTTCCTAGAGCGGCGGGAGCGAGGTACCCCATACACACACCCCCTCCCCTCCCCGCGCTGCCCCCGGTGCCCCCGGGCCGGGCCCCGCGCTGACCCGCGGCCGCCGTTGTGTCTCCGCAGAGGCCGAGCACGGTTACGCCTCGCTGAGGCCCGGCGGCAAGGACGGGGAGGCCTCGCGGCGCCGCGCCAAGGCCCGCAGGAGCAGCAGCGGCGGCAGGTGACGGCGGCACCGGGAGGGGGCGGGGGGGACCGGGCCGGGCTCGTTGTGGGGCTGTCGGGCAGGGCCGGGGGGCTTCTGACACCGGGGGACCGGGCCCGTGAGGCCCCGCTGCCACCGGGAGTGTGCCAGGACCGGGGTGACCCTCCAGGCCCCGGTGAGGCCCAGCTGTCACGGGGCTCCCGGCAAGGCCGGGAGGACCCTCCTGTCACCAGGGGACCGGGCCCGTGAGGCCCCGCTGTCACCGGGGGCGTGACAGGGCTGGGAGGGCTCCTGTCACCGTGGGACCGGGCTCTCTGGGGTCCCCCCACTGTCACCGGGAGTGTGACCACGTCAGGGAGACCCTCCTGCCCCAGGTGCTTGAGGACGGTCCTGGTGTCACCAGGGGTGTGACAGGGCTGGGGGGGCTCCTGTCACCGTGTGTCTGGGCCAGGTGAGGCCCCACTGTCACAGGGCCTGTGGCCAAGCTGGGGTGACCCCCTGTCACCAGGTGACCAGGCTCTGGTTGGGTCCCCCTGTCGCCAGGTGTGTGACAGGGCCGGGGTGACCCCCTGTCACCATGGGTTTGGGGTACTGTGAGGTCCTGCTGCCACCAGACACGTGGCAGGGCCGGGGTGACCCTCCTGTCATGAGGGTGCTCAGTCCCTGGTGTGTCCCTCTGTCCCCGGTGTGTGACAGGGCCAGAGGGACCCTCCTGTCACTGTTTGCTCAGGCTCTGGTGAGGCCTGTCTGTCACCAGCTGTGTGACAGGGCTGGGTGGGGCTCTGGTGCCACCAAAGTCCTGCTGTCACCGGGTGTGTGACACCGTGGGCGGGGCCCTCCTGTCCCCGGGTGACCGGGGCACGGTGAGGCCCCACTGTCACTGGGTGTGTGACAGGGCTGGGGGGACCCTCCTGTCACCAGGGGACCAGGCCCAGTGAGGTCCTGCTGTCAGAGGGCCCCTGGCAGGGCTGGAGGGGACCCTCCTGTCACCTCCTTAATTATCCACCCTGAAATCCACCCAGAGCCTTCCTATTGTTGCTCCCTGGTTGTTCCTCCCTGTTATCCCTGTCTGTTTTTTTCTCCCCGTTATCCCTCCCTGGTTGTTCCTCTCCGCTGTCCCTCCCTATTATTTCCTGCTGATTTTCAGTCCTAAACCTGAAAGTCCTAAACCACCTTTCCTACAAGTTGAAATCAGCTCCACGCACCCACGTTGAGTTTTAGGAGCAAATCCCACCATCCCAGGAGCAACAGGAGTCGCCCTCGTGCTTTATTCCTTCACTTTAACAACCCGAAATTCCCTCGGATCGCCGTGGAGGGGGAATGATCAGCTGGTTCGGGAAGGGGTGGCTCCAGGCTGTGCCTCCAAGCCCAGGGAAGCTCCGAGGGGCAGCGGGTTCATCCCGACACGTCACTGGCGCCGGACGGTGCCAGGGAGGAGCCAGGCGGGGATGGCACCACGTCTGTCACTTCTTTCCTGGTCGGGAGCAGCCCCGTCTGCGCCGACCTTTGGCAGCCGCCAGAACAAATCCACCTGGATGTGCACGTGCCGTGGTTCCCGGGGTTCTCCCGGGGTTCTCCCGGGGTTCTCCCGGCGCCCTGTCCCGCCCACGCAGGTGTCCCGGGCTGTCAGGGGGGTGGGAGGCAGCTGAGGCCTCGGGCTCTTGTTTCAAACAGGCTCCAGGTGAATCCGGGGGGTTGTCCTACCTGGACTTGCTCCAGGTTTCCCTCTCGGAGGATTTTGTTCACTTCAGACCAAACTGTTATGGTTTTTTCAGGGAAAAAAAACCCCCACATTCCGAAGGGAAAGCTGGTGATCAGCCAAAGTTTTAATTAGTGGGAATTGTAATCAGGGACTCCATGGGTATGAAATCGTTCTGGGAAGGATCTGGGAGCACGTGGATATGTTCCATCTGCTCCAGGGTGAAGCTGCCATCCCCTCTGTCCCTGTTTATTTTATCCAAAATTAAAATTCATCAATTATTTGATATTTTCCTAAATATTGGCGATGGTGGATGCAAAGCAAAAGGGAAAACAACCATTCCAGGAAAGATTCAGGTGGAAGAGAAGATGGGTTTGTAATTAGTGAGGGTGATGGGAGCTTCATCCCTGTTTGTACTGTGGTTGGGAAGTGTTTGGATAAGTTAGGATCAAGGGAATAGCTCAGAAGGCTGCAGCCTGTCACAGCCCTGTGGTGAAGGGCTGGGGGTGAAACATGTGGATTTATTGCCTCAAACATTTTTGGGGCTGTGAGGGCCATGGCTTTTGGAAGCTGATGGCACTGGGAAGCCAACAGAGCCTCCAGAGTGGGGTGATCCATCAGGAAATGCTGCTGGCAAAGTGAAGGAGACCCTCGAGAACATCTGCTGCTGCTGTGTTGGTGGCATCTCTAGTTTTTCCTTCAGTGGGATCCCCCCTTTTCCTTTGCTGCCACCCCTTGTTTTCCTTTGACATCTCTCATTTTCCCTTCAGTAACATCCCTTTTTCTTCCCTTTGGCACATCAACTCATTTTCCCTTCAATCCATCCCTTGTTTTCCCTTCAGCATTGGGACCAACCTGCCCTCCCAGACCCCATGGGGCCATCCCAGCAGACATCCCTCTCCAAACAACCTGTGGCTCATTCCCACTGTTAGGTTCTCAGGCCACGTAACAACATTTTTCCTGAGGTCAAGTGGAACTTCTCAAGGCCTCCAGAGATTTTAGGGAGTCTGTGGCCAGGGAAGCAGCTCTTCCCTGAGCATCATTCCTGGGACATGGGCAGCAGGGCCTCCTGTGGCTTCTTTCCCAGGTTTCAACAGGAATTTTGTAGCTTGTGTTTTCCATCTTTTCCCAGCTCCGTGGAAATTCGGAGCTCCGGGGGGATTTGTTGTGGGTGTGACGTGTCAGTGGTGCGTTCAGAATCTCCTCTGGAGCTGCTCCCTGTTGGACACAGGGAAGGGTTTTTTCCACATCTTCCTGGCATTTGAGGGATGACTTGGAGACGGGAATGGGCTTTGGATGCCGGCAAGGCTTGGGAGGCTCCCGGTCCCTGGAGTGTTCTGAGCCAGTTTGGGGATCCCACCCAGGCTCTGCCCAGAGTCAAGATGGAGCAGCTTCCCATCACTGGTACCACTGTTCTAAAGATTGACCCTCTCTGCATTAAAATCCCATTTTCCAGCTTTCCTGACCCTTTGTTTCCATTTGTCCAGCAATTCCCCCGTCTGGATCCCGCCGTGTTCACCATCCCTGGCTCTGGAGCAGCTCTGGAAGCCCCCTGGTTTGCAGCTTTTCCAGGGAGCCTTTGCTAATTCCAACATGTTAATCCCATCTGTTAATCCCTAATCAGCCAGAGGAAGTAATAACTTCTTCCTTCTTTTCCAGGTCGACACACAATGAGATGGAAAAGAACAGGTGAGTGCTGGAGGTTTGTCAGGAGCTGGGTTTTGGAGGAATTGTTGCTTTTCCAGGGGTTTTCCAGCTGAGATGGGTTGAGATGGGGGGTGGGAGGGAAGGGGTGGGATAAAGGACACCGAGGATTGAAGCGTTCCCTGTCCTTGACTGCTGGGAATGATATCCATCTCCTCAGCCAGCTCCCACTCCACTTAGTCAGGAAAATTATCTTTCCCCAGGCTCATCTTTGAGCCAGCTGGAGTTTGGGATTTATCCCAAGAGTAAATCCCACTTTCTTTGCCTGTGTTGTCATCCCAAGGTCCTTTGGGTGAGGAAATCCCTGTTTACTCCCAGTGTATCCCAAACAAGACCAGCAGGTCCTTGCAAAATCCCAGTTTGGAGCTGCCCAGGATCGGGTGGTTCAGAGATGGGTGTTGCAACCTACTCCCAAGGATCTGACCTACATGTTGGGATTGGAGCAATGGACACAGGGAAACTGGGATGTGCTGGGAGCATCCTGGTTATCAGCAGGTAAAGGGATTTATTTCCTCATGGAGCCAGAGTTTCCCTCTGGCTTTAATGTCCTACATATTAATGTGGAGAAAACCTGGATGTTACATGGAGAGGGAGGATTTCTGGACCGTGGTCAGTGCTCCCACAGGGATCTGGTGTTGGTTTGGATCCAAAACAACCCTGTTCCTAATAAAAGTATGGAAAGGAAGTGCTCCCAAGGGATTTACAGCTGGGTGTCAGCCTGGGCAGCTTTGCTGTCAGCAGGAACCAACCAGCATTCCTGAGGTGGAGATTTTTGGGAAGACAATGAACACAAGTGGATAGAATTCTGAGGTCGTTGGCATCTCCTTGCCAGGGATCATCCCGACAGCCCAGGGTGCCCGCAGGGTTTATCCACGAGGTCTTTCCAAGGTGTCCTTTGACCTGGCCATGGTATTCTCCCAGTTTCTGGAAGCCCCTGGAGGCTGGGAAGGCCCCTGGCTGGGTTTAGCTCCCCCCAGCCCAGTTTTCCCTGGGGAAGCTGATCCCGCTGCTCCCGTTCCAGGCGTGCCCAGCTCCGGCTGTGCCTGGAGAGGCTCAAGGGGCTGGTGCCCCTGGGGGCGGCGGCCGGGAGGCACACGACCCTCAGCCTCCTCACCAGGGCCAGGCTCCACATCCAGGTGAGCCGGGAAAACCGGGATGCGGCCCTGGGAAGGGGGGCAGAGATGAGAACAGCCCCCCAGGACGGGGGGTGAGGGTGGGGGGTGCTGGGATTGGACTGGGATAACTGGGGGAGCAGAGACAGTGGGCTGGATTAACTGGGAGAGTGATGGATTAGGCTGGGATAACTGGGAGAGCACTGGATTGTGCTGGGATAATGGGGAGTGCTGGCGTTGGGCTGGGATTACTGGAGGAGGGTTGGGATTGGGCTAGGAGGACTGGGAGAGCAATGGCATCAGACTAGGATAATGGAGGAGCACTGGATTGGACTGGGTTAACTGGGAGAGCTCTGGGATTGGGCTGGGGTAATTGGGCAGCACTGGGATCAGACTGGGATAACCGAGTGCTAAATTGAGCTGGGATAATGGGGAGTGCTGACATTGGGCTGGGATAACTGGGAGAGCGATGGATTGGGATGGGATATCTGTGGGAGGGTTGGGATTGGGCTGGCATGACAGGGGGAGTTGGAATCCATACAGCTCCACGTGCCCAGCTAGGAGCCCCTCGGGAGCCGTGGTGGCCGTGCCGGGATCCCGGGGGCTCAGGGTGCCGTGTGTCCTCCCGCAGAAGCTGGAGGACCTGGAGCGCCGAGCCCTGCACCAGATCGAGCAGCTGCAGCGGGAGCAGCGGCACCTCCAGCGGCAGCTGGAAAAGCTGGGAATGGAGCGGGTCAGGATAGACAGCATCGGCTCCAGCCTGTCCTCCGAGCGCTCCGACTCGGACCGAGGTGAGACCCCGCTCCGGGGGACGGCCGGCAGGAGGTCCGGCCCCGCTGGGACTCCAACCGTTCCCATTCCTCCGGCAGAAGAGATGGATGTGGATGTGGAGAGCACGGACGACCTCCCGGCCGACCTGGACTGGAGCAGCAGCAGCCCCAGCGACTCGGACGAGCGCGGGAGCCTCCAGAGCCTGGGCAGCGACGAGGGGTATTCCAGCTCCGGCGGGACCAGGGCGAAGCCGGCGAGCGGCCGGAAGCTTCCCCTCGGGATGTAGGAAGCGCTTCCCGCGGCCGTTCCAGCGGCGCCGTTCCCGTGGGATCCCGTTGGCCAGCACACCGACCCCCCCCGCATCCCCCGCACGTCCCGCCGATCCCGCTGCTCCCGGGGCTCCGCTCGCGCCCGCCGGCTCCTCGGCCCGGCCGGGATCTCTTCTGCCAGGCCCTACATTCCAGCCACGCTTGGAAGCGCCTGGGAATATCGTGGCAGTAACAGCGACCTCCAGAGCCTTCGCTGGGTTCTCTCCCAGGCTGTCACCGCCCGGTATTCCCGATCTTCTCCGCATTTGGCTGGCGACATCGTGTTCCTGACGCTCAGGACCCAAAAGCTGAGTTTTTGGGAGCAGATCCGAAGGCAGAACCGGCCTCTTGTGGAATTTCCACCTGGGAGAGAGCAGAACCGAGCTGAGAACCCCCCCCACGGAGCATTTTGGGTGGGCACAGGGATCGGCCTCAGTCGGGGGGTTCCTCCCCTCCCGACTCTAAATATTCAGGGACACCCCATCCCGGCCCTGCCGAGGTCCCGGAGCATTCCCGGCGTGGGGAATGGCAGCCCCCCCTCGGAACGGCCACCTCCGGGCTGGGAAGTTTCTGCCCTCCGTAAACCCAAACGGGACGTCCCACCTCCCGTGGCACGGCATTCCAGACTCCTGGAATTCCTCTCCACGCTTCCAGTCTCGGGGACAGTATTTTCTACCTCGGAGGGAGCCCCCGGCCTCTCTCCACCCCTTCAGCACAAAGATGATGCCTCCGCTCAGCAATAACCCCGCGGGACCCCCCGGATCGGCCCTGGAGCTCTTCTCCATCCATCCGGGATCTTCCCAGGCTCGTGGAGGGTTCCAGAAGCCCCGAGGGCGTGGGGGTCCCGAGCCGGAGCGCACTGAGCTGTCTGTGGTGTTCGTTCGGTTCCCGGTGCACTGGAGGGAACATTCCCACCACTTCCTGCTTTTAGAGCTGCTCTGGGAATGTTGGCACTTGGAGCTCTGCTTTCCACACCTTCCTTTTCCCTTCGGCTGCTCCAGGGGTTTTCCAACCCCTCAGGACCCTCTCGCTCCAGCCCCGTGGGGTCAGTGAGGCCTCAGTGTCGGGCAGGGAGCTCTCCAAGGGCTTTTCCCAGCGCTGGGATGAAAAACAGGCTCTGAGGGCCCCTTTTCTTCAGGAATTGTAGGTGCTGAGAGGCACCAAGATGCTCCACGGAGTGCAAGGGGATGAGGGGGAAACTCCACTTCTTTTCCTTTTTCCTGTCCCATTTTCCTTCCTGTCTTATTTCCCATCTTCCCTTCCCTTCCTTTTCCTTCTTTTCTCCTTTTCTTTTGCTCCTTTTCTGCTTTTCCTTTCTCTTCACACCCCAGTCCCATTTCTGGCCCATTTGGGAAGCAGGAAGCTGCCACAGGCCCCAGGAATTACCCAAATCCCCCAGGTTTCGACTCTTTTCCCACGTGCTGATTCTTAAAAGAGAAAAAAAAACCCAAACCACAAGGGATTTTCCTTTAAAGCCCCTGGAATTTCCCACCCTCCAGCATCACCACAGCCCATGGGCGCCTGAGCTCAACCCCCTGCACCTTCAAAAAGAGGGAAAAAAAGGCAAAAAGATGGAAAACACCAAGAAAATGTGGAATATCAGCCCTTGGGGGCTGGTGACTCCGGTGGTGTTTGGCCAGATCCGTCCCTTCCCTGGGGAATCCCAGAGGATCCCTCCGGGCAGGGGATTCCTGGCATTGGGAAAGCCCTTCCAGAGGTACCAAACGTTGGTTTTCGGTTGGTTTTGGACATTCTGAAGGTTTGGCCTCAACGCAAATGAGGGTTTTTGGCAGGTTTGTGCCTTTTTCAGTTCCCGACACCTTTTCTTTTCCCCTCTTTTTTCCTCCCTATCCCAACCTGACCCTTCCCGGCCCTTTGCTCTGTGGGGCTGTGCTCCGGGAACCCCCGAAACGCTGCACTAACCTGGAATGGGGCTGGAGCCTGGCGCATCTCTGGGTCCCCCCGGGCCATGCCAGCCTGTTCCTGGAATTCACTGATCCACCAGCATTCCTATGAAATAAGCTGCAGGAAGGACTTTTTTATAGATTGTGATAAAAATCCAGGGAGTGGGAGGAGCCGTATCGGGACATGATGGGCGGGAATCAAACCCACCCATTCGTGGGTTGTTTTTCCTTTCTTTTTCCTCGTGGAAGGCAGATCCTGACCTGCTGGCTCCCGGGAAGTACCAAAATGTTCGTTTCATCCTTGATTTTTCCAGTGGAGCCACCCCGTCTCCACTCAACCTTTCCTTTATTATTCTTTGGGGCACCTCTTATTTGTGCTTTCCCGTCATTTTTTCTGTTCTTTTTGCTCCCCAGGAAGCGGATCCGCCCCAGCCTCGGCTCCCTGGGGCAGTCGGGATCCCGTTCCCAGCCGTTCCTGCTGTAAATATCCCATTGTCGGGCCGAATCCCATGTCAAGCCAATGGAATGGTGCTTTTTTTTTTTTTTTAGGAATTCCGTGTTTTAGGAGACCTTTGCTGTGTCCATGGATATTTCTGTCTTGTTTGATTGTTAGGAAATAAATTATTTCGTTACGAAGGAGCCGCGTGAGCTGGAATTGCTGCAGGGAGGGAGTGGGAGGTGCCCGGGGATGGTGGGAATGGGTATCTGGGCCCCTGGGAAGGCAGAGCCCTCAGCCCCATCCCTCATCTTGCATCCTCCATCCCACATCACAGAATCATGGAATCATTTAGGTTGGAAAAGACCTGAGAGCATCGAGTCCAGCCTGTGACTGATCTCCACTGTCCCACTGAACAATCCAGTCGTTCCTTGGACACCTCCAGGGGTGGGGACTCCCCACCTCCCTGGGCAGCCCCTGCCAGTGCCTGACCACCCTTTCCAGGGAGAAATTCTTCCTGATGTCCAACCTGACCCTCCCCTGGCACAGCTGGAGGCCGTTCCCTCTCCTCCTGTCCCTTGTTCCCTGGGAGCAGAGCCCGACCCCCCCCCCGGCTCCCCCCTCCTGTCAGGGGGTTGCAGAGCCAGAAGGTCCCCCCTGAGCCTCCTTTTCTCCAGGTTGAACCCCCCCAGCTCCCTCAGCTGCTCCTGCTGCTCCAGCCCCTTCCCAGCTCTGTTCCCTTCCCTGGACACGCTCCAGCCCCTCAGTGTCTCACTTGTTGAGGGCCCAGCCCTGGACACAGCCCTGGAGGGTGCCCCAGCAGTGCCAGCACAGGGACGGGCACTGCCCTGGGCACCCCTGGGGTCACGTTCAGCCACTGTCACCAGCACCCTCAGGTCCTTTCCAGCTTTCCAGCCACTCTTTCCTCAGCCTGGAGCGTTGCAGGGGGTTGTTGTGGCCCAAGGGCAGGACCCTCCCCCTTGTTGGCCTCTGCCCCTCCATCCAACCTGTCCAGATCCCTCTGCTGAGCCTTCCTGCTCTCATCCCATTTTTCTCATCCCACAGTCTCCATCCCATATCACTCATCCCATATCCCTCATCTGCCCCTCATCCCACATCCCCCATCCGTGTCCTCCATCCCAACGTCCTCCATTCCGCCTCTCTCATCCCACATCCCTTATCCCATTCCTCATCGCACAGCCTCCATCCCACATCGTGCATCCCAAACCCCTCATCCCATATCCCTCATCCATGTCACTCATCCTGCATCCCCCAGCCCTCAGCCCCCCGGGTGCTCCCATGGGGGGATTATCCCAGTGCTGCTCCCGGCTCTGCCCATTCCCAGGGCTGGGCTGGGGCTGGAGCTCCTCACTCAGCTCCCCAGGTCCCGGCTGCAATGATGGTGTGGTGGGTTGGCCCCGGCTGGACACCAGGTACCCACTAAAGCTGCTCTGTCACTGCCCTCTACAGAGGACAGAAAACATAATGAAAGGTTCATGAACTGAGACAAACACCAGGAGAGATCCCTCACCCATCACCGTCACAGGCAAAACAGACTCACCGGGGGGACAGTAACTGAATTTATTAACAACAAAATCAGAGCAGGAGAATGAGAAGTCAAATCAATCTTACAAACACCTGCCCTCCTTCCCGGGCTCTCCCTTCACCCCCTCCAGCAGCGCAGGGACACGGGAATGGGGGTCACAGGCAGCTCATCACACCTCGTTCCTGCTGCTGCTCAGGGGACGAGCCCGAGTCCAACCCCTGCTCCAAGCTGGGCCCCCAAGGGCTCCCAAGTCCTTCCAGCAAACCTGCTCCAGCCTGGGCTCCTCTCTCCACCAGGACCCTGCTCCAGCCTGGGCTCCTCTCTCCACCAGGACCCTGCTCCAGCCTGGGCTCCTCTCTCCACCAGGACCCTGCTCCAGCCTGGGCTCCTCTCTCCACCAGGACCCTGCTCCAGCACGGGTTTCCCAGAGGGTCACAGTCTGTGTCGGGCATCCCCTGCTGCGGGTGGGCTCTTCAGGGCTGCACGTGGATCCCTGACCCACCCCGACCCTCCACGAGCTGCAGGAACATCCCTGACCCACCCACGTGGCCTCCGTGGGCTGCAGGGGCTCAGCTGCCTCCCCAGGGGCTTCCCCACAGAACCTCAGGGGAATCTCCACTCTTGGAGCAGCTCCAACCCCTCCTCCTGCACTGCCCTGGAGCTCTGCAGGGCTGCTCCTCTCACGTGTTCTCACTTTGCTCTTCTCTGGCTGCAGTTTTCACCTGCACAAGGACTTTTTCCTCCTGCAGTTCGTTCTCCCTGAGGTCTCACCGCCATCCCTGCCAGGCTCAGCCTCGCCCAGCACTGGATCCATCCTGGAGCCTCTGGAATTGGCTCTGCCGGACTCTGGGGAAGCTTCTGGTAGCTTCTCACAGAAACCACCCCTGGAGCTCCCCTGCTACCAAAACCTGGGCACACAAACCCAACCCAGACGGGAAAAGGTGCCAGGAGCCAGAGGGAAGGGAGTCAGGAATGTTGTCCATGTGCCCCCCAAATCCCCCATATTCCCCCAAATCCCCACACCCCACGAGCCGAGTGCCCTCCCAGACCCCCAAAGGAGAACCCCGTGTCAGGGAGAGCCCCCAGACTGCGGGGGGGGGAATCCAGGGGGAAGTTCATGGGTCTGAGGTGGGGAGTGGTCACCCTTTGAGCAGCTCCACACCGAAGCCCCTGTGCCAATCCCACCCCTGTGCCCCTCTGCCGCCCTGTGTCCCCTCCATGTCCCTTTGCCGTCGTGTGCCCCCCTCCCTGTGGCCCCCACACGCCCCAGGCTGCCCTGTCCCCGTGTCACCCTGTGCATCCCAAGTCCTGCCACTCTCTGTACCCCCTGTGCCACCCCGTGTGTCCCAAGTCCTTCTGCCACCTCCTGTGTCCCCAAAACCTTCACGGGAAAATACATCCCTGTGTCTGGAATTCGGTGCTTTGTCCCTTGGCCCTGCCCCTTGTCCCGGGGGTCTCGGGGTGAGCTGAGCTGGAAGGGGGTCACCCCTGTGCCAGGGGGCACCCCGGGGTCAGTCAGAGCAGCACCAGTCCCTCCCTCGTGTCCCCCCAGAGCTGCCAGAGGGGGCACAGGGGGCGGCAGGAGGACAGGGGGACAGGGGGACAGGGGAGCCTGGAGGGCACACGCAAGGTGGGACACCGGTGGCAGAGGGGTAGGGAGAGGACACAGGGTGGCAGAGGGACACGGAGTGGGGCACAGAGGGTGGGACACCGGTGACAGAGTAGCACACGGGGGTCATGGGTGGCAGAGGGACACAGGGCTGAGGCACGGGCCGGCAGAGGGGCACGGGGGGCACAGCGAGGCCGGGCAGGGCCGGGCAGGGCTGTGCCACCTCGGTGCCCTCCAGGTGGCCTCACCTGGGGCAGGTGACCCCCCCGGAGGGGGCCCGGCCTCCGGCCGCACCCGCGCTGAGGGCTCTCGAGTGGCCAAGTGGGGACAAGGTGACCGCGGAGGGACATTGCGGGAAGGGGAGCAGGGGGGCCACACCCGGGGAGTGGCGGGGGACAAGGAGGGGGGGATGGGCAGGACCGCGGGGGATACGGGGACATTGGGGGTGGAGGGGGACACGGGGGTGTGGGGACATGAGGGGGGACATGGGCATATGGAGGCGGGGGAATATGGGGGAACAAGGGAAAAAAGGGTGGACGTGGAGGTGTGGGGACATGGGGACATCGAGGGCTGTGGAGGGACATGGGAGAGTGGGGGGATGTGGGGGAACAGGAGAACATGGGGATGAGGGGGGACATGGGGACATTGGGGAGAGTGGGGGGACGTGGGGGGACATGGAGGTGTAGGACCGTGGGGACATGGGGGGTACATGGGGACCTGGGGGTAGGGGGACACGGCAGAGGGGTGTTGGTGGTCTAGGGGTGGGGGGACATGGGAGGTGGGGAGGATATGGGGGGATTGGAGACATGGAGAGATGTAGGGGTACGTGGGGCTGTGGGGACATGGGGCGACATAAGGGGACGTGGGGGGAATGTGAGGGTGTGGGAACATGGGGACCCCAATGGGGACATGGGACCCCAGTAGGGACATGGAGACCTTGAAAGGGGTCCCTGGCGGGGACATGGCCGTAGGGGACACAGGGACATGGGGGCAGTGGCAGGGTGACAGGGTGGGGGTGGGCGCCCCCCCGTGTCCCCGCGGCTGTGACACGCCTGTCCCCGTGTGCTGGCACCGACCCAGGGCCACGTCCCGCGGGCTATAAGAGGCCCCGGGCTCGGCCCTGCCGGCACCGCCGCTGTCCCTGTCCCTGTCCCTGCCCCTGCCCCTGTCCCTGCTCCCGCCATGGCCCTGCCGCTGCCGCTGCTCCTCGCCCTGCTCGGGGCCACCCCAGGTAGGGTCCCCGCACCCCCAAACCGGGGGGCACCCCCAGAGCTGGGGACACCCCCAGGGACCCCGTGGTGGGGCGAGGGGGGCCCAGACAGCGGGGTGCCCCCGGGGGGAGGGGATGCCCGGGGCGGGGGCAGACCCTGAGTGCCCCCTTGGGGTCTCAGGGTACTGAGGGGGTTATTGGGGGGCTCCCCGACATCTGGCTCCCCCCACGAGCGCTGGGTGTGGGAAAGGGCATCTTGGAGGGGCAGGGTATTGAGTTGGGGGTCCCAGACAGCCGGGTGCCCCCATGGAGGGAGGGGGTGCTGTTTTGGGGTGGTGTGTGCACTGGGGGAGGGTCCTGGGTGCCTGGATCCCACTGGGATGGTGGGGGGGGAACTGGTCCTGGAGACCCGATCCCCCATGAGGATTGGAGGGGGGTGTATTTGGGGGTCGCAGGCGCTCAGGTTGCGTGAGGGTTGGGATGAGGTATTGGGAGGGGGGGGACCTGGACTCCCGGCCCCCCCCGGCTCGGCGCTCACGGCCCCACAGGTCTGGGGGCACCGGGGGGGGGCTGTGGGGTGCCCCCCTCTGCCTGGTGCCAGAGCTGGGACACTGCCCTGCGCTGTGGGGCTCTGGAGCGCTGCCCCCTCCTCACCCAGAGACCCCCTGATGTGGTGAGAGAGCCCCCCGTGTCCCACCACCCTCCGTGTCCCTATCACTCCCCACATCCCTGTCACCTCCTGTGTCCCCCCACCCCACCCCACCCCACCCCACTGTCTCTCTACCCCCTGTATGTCCCCAAAATCCCACAGGGGTCCCAAGACCCTCCCATGGCCCCACACCAACATGTCCCCATACACCCTCCTTGGTCCCCCCTGTCCCCACATCCACATTTCCCCACACACTCAAGTCCCAGAGTCCCCATGTCCCCATGTCCCCAGTCCCCGTGTCCCAGAGTCCCCATGTCCCCAGTCCCCGTGTCCCAGAGTCCCCATGTCCCCAGTCCCCGTGTCCCAGAGTCCCCATGTCCCCAGTCCTCGTGTCCCAGAGTCGAGTCCCCATGTCCCCGTTTCCCCGTGTCCCCACATCCCCATGCTACCCCATCCCCATGTCCCCCGTCCTCGTGCCCCCCACATCCCTGTCCTCTACTACCGTTCCCCCCATCCCAGTGTCCCCAACTCCCCGTGTCCCCGTGTCCCCGTGTCCCCACACCGCCGTGTCCCCGCTGTCCCCTCCCGCAGGACACCTGCGCCCTCTGCCAGCAGCTCTTCTCCTTCCTCCACCGCGTGTCCAACCAGTCGGCCGTGCAGGTGCCCGCGGGACAGGGGGACACGGCGGGGACAGGCACAGAGGTGTCACCGTGGGGGTCCCCTTGAGGGTCATCGTGGGGCCGGGGGCAGAGGTGCCACTGAGGGTGTCACTGGGGGTGTCACTGGGGGGACGGACACAGGTGCCACTGAGGGTGTCACTATGGGGGTCACCGTGGGTGTCACCGTGGGTGCTGGCAAGTGTCATGGAGGGAGGTGCCACTGGAGGTGTCGCTGCGGTTGCTGAGGTGGCGGCTGTCGCTGTGGGTGCCACCGCAGGTGCCATAGTCACAGATGCCACCACGGGTGCCATGGCGGTGGGTGCCACTGTGGGTTTCACTGTGGTTGCTGGGGTGAGGCGTGAAGTGGTGGCAGATGCCAGCGGGTGCCACAGTGGTGAGTGACACCATGGGTGACACCATGTGTGCCATGGTCACAGATGCCACCACGGGTGCCAGTGGTGCAGCGGTGACGGGTACAGCAGTGGTGTGGGTGGCGGTGGTGGTGTCCCCGTGGGTGTCCCTTGGGTGTCCCCCTGGGTGTCCTCTGGGTGTCCTTGGGTGTCACCGGGGTGCCCCAGCGCAGGTGGCAGTGGAGCAGGTGCTGGGGGCTCTGTGCCTCCCGCTGCCCGTCCTGGCGGCCCCGTGCCAGTCCGTGGTTCACTCGCTCGTCCTGCGTGTCCTCCGGGAGCTCCAGCACCTCGTGAGTGGCACCGGGGGGACGTGACCAGGGCACACCCCGGGGTGCTGGGGCCCTGGGGACACTGTGGCACCTGGGAACATCTTGGGGGGCTGGGGGCAGTGGGGACACTGTGCCATCAGGGACCCCCTGGATGCTGCAGGTTTGGGGACATCTCCGGGCACTGGGGGTTTGGGAACACCTTGGGGTGCAGAGGGTTTGGGGACACTTGGGTCACCTGGTCGTGCCCCATCCGGGGGTCCCTGTCATGGCCCCCAGGTGCCCCGGCAGATCTGTGCCAACCTGAAGCTGTGCCCGGCAGAGCCCGGCGGTGCTGCAGCCGTGCCCACCCTCGGGGCACTCGGCACCCACCCACAGGTACGGGGGTCCCGGGGAGCAGCGGGGGTGGCTCTGAGGGTGTCAGCAGGGCCACCACGGGGCTGGAGCCCGCTTGGGGGGCACAGCCAGGGGCAGCCCCACCCCTGGGCTCCACAGTGAACATCCCACAGGAGGCCAAAACCCCACCATGGGGCTCGGGTGAACCCCCTCCTGCAGGTCCCACCACCCAGCTCCAGAGGGAACAACTACCCACAGGAGGGCACAGACCCCCATTAGGCTGCAGAGTGACCCCTTCCCACAGCCACAACCCCACCACTGAGTGACCCCTTCCCACAGCCACAACCCCACCACTGAGTGACCCCTCCCCAGAGGGAGCTGCAGCCCCACCACTGGGCTCTGGAGTGAACCCTAACCCCACCCCTAACCCCCTCCCCACAGTTCCACCCCCGGGCTCCAGACTGAACGCCCCCCAGGACGCCACAGCCCCCCTGGGCTCGAGCACCCACATCCCCCCCAGGCCCAGCCCGGCTCTGGGCTCCCGCTGTCCCATGGGAGGCCACGATGCCACCCTGGGCTCCGAGTGACCCCCCTCCGGGTCACTGGGCTCCGAGTGACCCCCCTCCCTCCCGCAGGAGCCCCCCCCGGGCCCGGCGGCGCTGCCGGTGCCCCTCCCGCTGTGCTGGCTGTGCCGCACCTTCGTGGCGCAGGCCGAGGCCGCCATCCCCGTGCCCAGGGTGGCCGCGGCGGCCACGGGGCTGTGCCGGGCGCTGCCGCTGGTGGCCGTGGGTGCGTGCCAGTGCCTGGCCCAGCGCTACGCCACCCTCCTGCTCGAGGGGCTGCTGGGCCGCCTGGGCCCGCGCCTGCTGTGCCGCCTGCTCCTCGCCTGCCAGGGCACCGCGGACGACGCGGGCGCGCCACCGGCGCTGCTGGAGGCCATCGTGGTGCGGCTGGCGGAGTGCGTGGGCCCCGAGGTGAGGGGACAGGTCCCCGGGGAGGTGACGGGGCACCCCAGGGTGGCACAGCCCTGAGGGAACATGTCCAGGGGTGCCACAGTCCTTGGGACACATCCCGAGGGCGTCACAGTCCCCAGGGGCCATGGCAGGGACACAAACGGTGGCACAGCCCCGAGGGGACACGTCCAGGGGTATCAGTCTCGAGGGAGTCCCACCACCCCTGGGCACACCATGAGGTCCCCAGAAGGTGCCACCCCCACTGAGAGGACAGTGTCAGGGTCCCCAAGGGTGTCACAGGCCTCGAAGGGGTCACTCAAGAGTGACCCAAGTGGGGGAGGGCACCGAGTGTCACAACCCCAAGGGACACCCCAAGGACGTCACAGCCCCGGGGAGGGGGTTCCAGGAGGCTCCCTGGGGTGTCCCCACCCTTGGGGGGACCCCTGACACCCATGTCCCCCCCGCAGGACCTCAAGGGTGTCGCCCCCCCCGTGCTGTCACCCCCCCTGGGCCCCTGTGCCCTGGGCCCCATGTACTGGTGCTCCAGCCCCGAGCCCGCCCGGCGCTGCCAGGTGAGTGGGGACAGGGGGCACATGGAGGGGTGGCACCCCCCGCACCCCCCACTGACCCCTCTGTGCCCCCCAGGCCCTGCAGCACTGCCAGGAGCACGTCTGGCTGTAGAGGGGCTCTGGGGCCCCCCCCAGCACTTCCCAATAAAGTTTGGATGCAGCTCTGCCTCTGTGTTCCCAGTTTTTTGGGGTGTTTCTGGGGGTCACGGGGTGCTGGGGGGTCAGGGGGGAGAAGCAGTGGAAACCATGACCCCCCTAAACACAAAGAAGAGAAAAGGTGAAAATGAGCTACAAAAATAAGTGGGTGGCATTTATTTGGGGTGGGGAGAGACACACCAAGGGGCTTGGGGGTGTCCCCGGAGGGGTTATGGGTGATCCCAAGGAGACCTAGGTGTCCCCAAGGGGCTCAGGGTGTCCCCAAGGGGCTCAGGGTGTCCCCAGGGCTCTCTGGGTGTCCCCAAGGGGATCTTGGGGTGTCCCAGAGACGGCTGTTGTTGCTTCCAGGGGGGTTCTGGATGTCCCCAAGGGAGCCTGGGGTGTCCCCAAAGGCGTCTCTGCATCTCCACAAGGGACTGGGAGTGATCCCAAGGGGGTCTCTGGGTGTCCCCAGGGGGTCTCAGGCCCCTTGTTGGTTTGTCTCATCCTCCTCGCGCCGTTTCCAGATCTGTGGGAGAGGGGGAGGGGTGGTCAGAGCACATCCTGGTGGTGCCAGGGACATCCTGGAGGTGCCAGCTGCCCCCTGCCCCCCTCACCTGGATGTAGGCCTCGGACAGGGTGATCATCTGTGGCAGGATGTCGGTCACCTGCAGGTCCTGCAGCTCGTACCACTTCCCTGTGCCCTGCCAGGACCAGGAGGGGACAGGGTGGGCCAGGGGGTCCCCGTGGCCCCCCCAGAGCCCCCCGGGAGGGGGACACTCACGTGGTGCAGGACGTGGATGCGGTAGGAGCCCTCTGAGGGCTTCCCATCGTGCACGATGTTGGCGATGAGGTCGTAGGTGGTGTGAGCGTGCGCCGCCTGCACCTCCTCCGACAGGTACTCCCGCAGGTCCACGTTCCTGGGCACCCCACGTGCCCTCAGGGGGGCAGGGGAGCCCCCACAGACCCCTCCAGATGCCTCCAAACCCCCTCCAGATGCACAGACACCCCCCTCCCCAGATGCCTCCAAACCTCTTCTCAGTGCCCACACCCCCTTCCTTCCCAGACACACTCAACTCCCCCCAGATGTTTTCAAACCCTTCCCTGATAGCCACAGAACCCCCCAAAGATGCCCAGAACACCTCCAGATGCCCACAAATCCCTCCCAGACGGCTACAATCCCTCCCAACACCCACAAATCTTCTCCAGGCACCTTCAAACACCCTCCTAGATGCCTCTACCATGTCCCAGATACCTACAACCCTCCCCTAGACACCCTCAAACAATCCCCTCCTAAGTGGTTTTAAACCCCATCAAGTGTATCCAACCCTTTTTTTTTTTTTTGTTTTTTTTTTTTTTTTTTTTTTTTTTTTTTTTTTTTTTTTTTTTTTTTTTTTTTTTTTTTTTTTTTTTTTTTTTTGTTTGTCCAACCCTTCCCAAAGTGCCTTCAAAGCCCCTTTAGATGATTTCAAATGCTAAACCCCCCTCCTGGATACTTTCAACCCCTCTTAGATACCTACAACCCCCTCCACACACCCACAACCATGCCTAGACATTGTCAACCCTGCCCCACTACTCACAATCTCCTCTGGGATGCTTTTAACCCCCTCCACACACTCCCAACCCTCCCACGCCCTCCCCAACCCCCCCCCTCGCCCCTTTAGATGACTTCAAACCCCAAAAGCCCCTCATGGATGCTTTCAACCCCTCTTAAGATACCTACAACCTCCCACACACACCCACAACCACCCCTAGACATCGTCAACACCCCCGTCTCCTCCCAGATGCTTTAAACCCCCTCCCCAGGCTCCCAGCCCCCCCCAGCGCCCCCAGCCCTGGCTCACGTGATGGGGAAGTTGACAATGGTGGGGTTCTTCTCCACGAAGAAGTTGTTCTTGGTGAAGCGCTTGATGCAGAAGATGAGGTAGGGGGGCAGGCGGGTCAGCTGGAAGCGCTTCAGGAAGTTCTCCTTGTAAGTCTTGTACTCCTTCTCGGTGCTGCCGTTGAATTTGGCCAGGATGCTGAACAGGGGCACCTGGGGGATGATGAGCTGCTCCTTCTCGTCCTTGTAGAGCGGGGCCGTGGGCAGGTCCAGGGTCAGGTACAGGAAGGTGGACTCCACCATGCGCTCCTGGTACTCGCTGTTCTGCAGCAGCTGTGCCTTCTCCTCCGCGGGCTGGGGGGTGGGACCCCTGGGTGACACCCCTGTGGGACCCC